GGTGCAACTGCATCTAGGGTATTGCGCAAGGTTAAATTGAGTTCCTCAGTTAAGTGGTTAACTGATTTTTGTCCTCTGACGTCCTTGGGTAGGCAGAAGGAGTCTGGAAGGGCATCAATGAATTTTTGTGTTGTCTGAGAATTTATAGCACGACTTTTGATGCTCCTTGGTTGGGGTCTGAGCAGATTATTTGTTGCGATTGCAAACGTAATAAAATGGTGGTCCGATAGTCCAGGATTTTGTGGAAAAACATTAAGATCTACAACATTTATTCCATGGGACAAAACTAGGTCCAGAGTATGACTGTGGCAGTGAGTAGGTCCAGAGACATGTTGGACAAAACCCACTGAGTCGATAATGGCTCCGAAAGACTTTTGGAGTGGGTCTGTGGACTTCTCCATGTGAATATTAAAATCACCAAAAATTAGAATATGATCTGCTATGACTACAAGGTCTGATAGGAATTCAGGAAACTCAGAGAGGAACGCTGTATATGGCCCAGGAGGCCTGTAAACAGTAGCTATAAAAAGTGATTGAGTAGGCTGCATAGATTTCATGACTAGAAGCTCAAAAGATGAAAACGCCATTTTTTTTTTTGTAAATTGAAATTTGCTATCGTAAATGTTAGCAACACCTCCGCCTTTGCGGGATGCACGGGGAATATGGTCACTAGTGTAACCAGGAGGTGAGGCCTCATTTAACACAGCAAATTCATCAGGCTTAAGCCATGTTTCAGTCAGGCCAATCACATCAAGATTATGATCAGTGATTAGTTCATTGACTATGACTGCCTTTGAAGTGAGGGATCTAACATTAAGTAACCCTATTTTGAGATGTTAGGTATCACAATCTCTTTCAATAATGGCAGGAATGGAGGAGGTCTTTATCCTAATAAGATTGCTAGGGTGAACACCGCCATGTTTAGTTTTGCCCAACCTAGGTCGAGGCACAGACACAGTCTCAATGGGTATGGCTGAGCTGACTACACTGACTGTGCTATTGGCAGACTCCACTAAGCTGGCAGGTTGGCTAACAGCCTGCTGCCTGGCCTGCACCCTATTTCATTACTTAAAAATCATACAATGTGATTTTCTGGATTTTTGTTTTAGATTCCGTCTCTCACAGTTGAAGTGTACCTATGATAAAAATGACCGACCTCTACATGCTTTGTAAGTAGGAAAACCTGCAAAATCGGCAGTGTATCAAATACTTGTTCTCCCCACTGTATACTTGGATGTGTAGTGTCAGAATTTGTTGCTGGCATGTCATGCCTAAGTTTGCTAATCTTGCGAATGAAAAAATAATTAAAGTAGTTGGCAATATCAGTGGTTTTTTTGATGGATGAGCCATCTGATTCAATGAATGATGGAGTGGTTTGCCTTTTTGGCCAAAATTTCATTTAAGGTGCTCCAATGCTTTTTAATGTAATTCTTCATGTAATTTATCTTTGTTTCATAGTGTAGTTTCTTTTTATTCAGTTTAGTCACATGATTTCTCAATTTACAGTACGTTTGCCAATCGGTTGTGCAGCCAGACTTATTTGCCATTTCTTTTGCCTTATCCCTCAACTATACAATTTTGCAATTCCTCATCAATCCACAGGGATTTAACCGTTTTTACAGTCATTTCCTTAATGGGTGCATGCTTATTATTAACTGGGATAAGCAATTATATAAATGTGTCAAGTGCAGGGTCTGGTTGCTTCTCATTACACACAATGGACCAACACATATTCTTTACATCAACAACATATGAATCACTACAAAACATATTGTATGACCTCTTATACACTATATTAGGCCCAGCCTTTGGAACTTTGGTTTTCCTGGATATTGCTACTATATTGTGATCACTACATCCGATGGATTTGGATACTGCTTTCTGCAGCATTAGTAAAGATGTTGATTATTTCATTCCTGTGCTATTTGTAACTACCCTGATAGGTTGAATGATAACCTGAACCAGGTTGCAGGCACTAGTTACAGTTTGAAGCTTTCTCTTGAGTGGGCAGCCTGATGAAAGCCAGTCAATATTTAAATCACCCAGAAAATATACCTCTGTTGATATCACTTACATTATCAAGCATTTTACACATGTTATCCAGATACTGACTGTTAGCACTTGGTGGTCTATAGCAGCTTCCCACCAGATTGGGCTTTAGGTGAGGCAGATGAACCTGTAGCCATATTACTTCAACAGTATTTAACATGAGATCCTCTCAAAGCTTTACAGGAATGTGGTTCTGAATATAAATGGCCACACCTCCACCTTTGGCATTTCTGTCTTTTCTGTAGATCTTATAACCATGTATTGCTACCGCTGAATCAATAAAAGGTATTATCTAAGTGAGTTTGTCAGAATATGAATGTCATCTGTTACTAGCAAATGATTGATTTCATGAACCTTGTTTCTTAAGCTACATATGTTAACATGGGCTATTTTTAGCACTTTTCTGGGATGCTTGATTGTTTTTATTGCTCTACTGGGAAGCTTAGCAGAGATAGACATGCTCAGGTTATTTATGTTAGTGCAGGGTAAGCTGCACTAACACTGCTAGGGCACACTGCCTCAGTGCTAACAGTATATATCTGGTTCATAGGCACATGATTACTACATACAATAGCTGTAGGATCAGCAGAGGCATTCAGGGCAGTAAGAGGGACATACAGTGCATTCAGAAAGTATTCAGACCCCTTTACTTTTTCCACATTTTGTTATGTTACAGCCTTATTCTTATACTGATTACATTGTTTTTTTTCTTGTTCATCAATCTACACACAATACCCCATAATGACAAAGCAAAAACAGGTTTTTAGAAATTTGTGCAAATGTATTCAAAATAAAAACCGGAAATATCACATTTACGTAAGTATTCAGACCCTTTACTCAGTACTTTGTTGACGCACCGTTGGCAGCGATTAGAGCCTCAAGTCTTTTTGGGTATGACACTACAAGCTTGGCACACCTGTATTTGGGAAGTTTCACCCATTCTTCTCTGCAGATCCTCTCAAACTCTGTCAGGTTGGATGGGGAGCGTCGCTGCACAGCTATTTTCAGGTCTCTCCAGAGATGTTCGATCAGGTTAAAGTCCGGGCTCTGGCTGGGCCACTCAAGGACATTCAGAGACTTGTCCTGAAGCCACTCTTGCGTTGTCTTGGCTGTGTGCGTAGGGTCGTTGTCCTGTTGGAAGGTGAACCTTCACCCCAGTCTGAGATCCTGGGTGCTCTGGAGCAGGTTTTTGTCAAGGATCTCTCTGTACTTTGCTCCGTTCAGCTTTCCCTCTCCTGACTAGCCTTCCTGTCTCTGCCGCTTAAAAACATCCCCACAGCATGATGCTGCCACCATGCTTCACCATAAGGATGGTGCCAGGTTTCCTCCAGATGTGACGCTTGGCATTCAGGCCAAAGAGTTCAATCTTGGTTTCATCAGACCAGAGAATCTTTTGGCAAACTCCAAGCGGGCTGTGGAGTGGCTTCCATCTGGCAACTCTACCATAAAGGCCTGATTGGTGGAGTGGTGCAGAGATGGTTGTCCTTCTAGAAGGTTCTCCCATCTCCACAGAGGAACTCTGGACTTCTGTCAGAGTGACCATCGGGTTCTTGGTCACCTCTCTGACCAAGGCCCTTCTCCCCCGATTGTTCAGTTTGGCCGTGTGGCCAGCTCTAGGAAGAGTCTTGGTGGTTCCAAACTTTGCCACTGTGTTCTTGGGGACCTTCAATGCTGCAGACATTTTTTGGTACCCTTCCCCAGATCTGTGCCTCGACACAATCCTGTCTCATGGCTAGGTTTTTGCTCTGACATGCACTGTCAACTGTGGGACCTTTTTATATAGACAGGTGTGTGCCTTTCCAAATCATGTCCAATCAATTGAATTTACCACAGGTGGACTAATCAAGTTGTAGAATCACCTCAAGGATGATCAATGGAAACAGGATGAACCTGAGCTCAATTTTGAGTCATCATAGCAAAGATCTGAATACTTATGTGAATAATATATTTCTGTATTTTATTTGTAATACATTTGCAAAACTTTCTAAAAACCTGTTTTCACTTTGTCATTCTGGGGTATTGTGTGTAGATTGATGAGGGGGGAAAATAATTTAATCCATTTTAGATTAAGGCTGTAAAGTAACAATGTGGAATAAGTCAAGGGGTCTGAATACTTTCCGAATGCACTGTAAATTAGGTTGCTTACATTGTGTCTTCCAGCGCCCCTGGGATAATGTACATTTGCTGAAGCATTATGATAACTCAGCGACACAATGGTAGGGATTAAATGAGCTGGGCTTGGGTCATTGATAAGTAATTGTCTCAACGCAGCCTTATAATGCTGTGAAAGGATCCAGGAACCCAAATGATTTGGGTGGATCCCATCCTCCTTTATAATATGAGCTTTGTTTCCAGAAGGTATCAAAATTGTCAATAAATGTTACACCCACAGAGCTGCAATAGTCTCATAGCCAGTTATGGAGGGCTAAAAGTCTGCTGAACCGTTCAATGCCACGATTTAGGGAGGGCAGAGGGACAGATATTATGGAACGTTTGTTGGTGATCAGTAGTGACCAATCAGTTCTTTAAAATCCATCTTCAGCTGTTCTGAGCTGCCCTTAATAATAATGTAATTGAATCCCACATGAACTATGATAGACTCAATGTCCTGATGCTGGTTTAAAATGTTTGGGAGCAGCTTATTGATGTCCTGTACTCGTGCTCCTGGAGAGCACAACGTTTTTGCTCCAGGGACTGAGCCATTTCTCACCATTGAACTGCCCAATATAACTGCCGAAGGGAATTGAGAAATCCGCCCATTCCCACCCCTCACACAGGGTAACTTGTGAGTACCTTCTATGCAGATAGGCGTGCTAGATAATCCATTGTATAGGCCAATACATGTGTATCTGTCTGTGTGCATTTCCATACTAGATGCAAGTGCCATTGTTCGTGAGCATGTAGATGACCAGTGGGTTGTCTCTCTGGGTTTTTTCTTTTTTCCCTCTCAGTTGTTTAGAAGGGAATATGACGGCGGTGGACGGGCTAACAGACAGCACAGAGGGGGTGGAGATGGAGGACGTCCCGTCTCAGTTCTACGTGGAGAAGCACTCGTGGGGCGGCCTGCGTGACATCATCCACAGCAGCAGGAAGTACTCAGGAATGATCGCCAACAAAGCGCCCCATGACTTCCAGTTTGTGCAGAAAAACGATGAGTCAGGCCCCTACTCCCATCGACTGTACTACCTCGGTGAGCCCAGGCCATTTGCCACTGATGATCGTCACACTTTAGTTCCCTCAGTGCTTCATTGAGTTACGCACATTTCTCAAGTTACGACACTGTTTTGGAAGTTGTACCTTGGCCACTTAACTCATTTTCACTTCCGCCGTCTCTCTCTATCGATCAGGAATGCCTTATGGAAGTAGAGAGAACTCACTGCTCTACTCTGAAATTCCCAAGAAGATCCGGAAAGGGGCCCTCTTGGTGTTGTCGTGGAAACAGATGCTGGATCACTTCCAGGTGAATATCCGTTATATCATCTGCGCTTCACTGAAACCTAATGACATCCAAACCTGGTACCAAGAGATTGTACTAAATATTATACCCAAGGGAATCCTAATAAAATATACTACAGTTATTATCCTCATAAGATAAAGATCTCAAGCTTTACAACTTGCAGCCTCACCTTAACAGTAAAGGTGAGAATGTCCTCCCCAATGGCAGATTTCTGGTACATGAAATGTGGTCAGCACAGTCCAGAGCAGTGAGTTTCCCCTGCAGCCTCAGGCCAGTCCAGTGTAGCAATAGCTGCATCCGTCTGATACCAAGGGGTGTTGTCCTGGATGTAGGATGAGATGTTCCATCATGGGTGACAGAAGCCCCCACAACAACACCGCGATCTGCCACAACTGCATCAGAGGCAGTCACTGGCTCAGTTTGCATATCAGTCCGTGTCCAGCTGAGCTCCACTCCAGTCCGGTTGCACAGGTCATTGAGGTCCGGCCAGTCTGACCAGACTCCAAAGCCTGCAGCACGAGTGTCCAATTTTCCATTGGCCTTCCTCCTGAAGCCCAGGATGTTGTCCTGGCCAGTGGAACCTTCCTCCTCTGTAGCCACAGAAGGAGCGAAGCTCTGGCTAACTCCTTGTCACATTGTCACTGTTGAGCATGTTCAACAGGTGAGTCAGTCTGGTAGCAGTGTAAATGGACCCGTAAGTAAGCATTTCACTTTTAGTCTACACCTGTTGTCTACGAAGCATGTGACAAATACAATTTTATGAGAAAAAAATATTCAATTTTATTTGGAACGGCAAGCCAGACAAAATTTAAAAGGGCATATTTATATAATGAATATGAATTCGGAGGACAGAAATTATTAAATATTAAAGCATTAGACCTATCACTAAAAGCTTCAGTCATACAAAAGTTATACTTAAATCCGAACTGGTTCTCAAGCAAATTAGTAAGATTGTCTCACCCAATGTTCAAGAAAGGCCTTTTTCCCTTTATTCAGATTACAACCTCTCACTTTCAGTTATTTGAAAAGGAAATAATCTCCCAAATATCACTATTTCTAAAACAAGCCATAGAAAGTTGGTTGCAATTTCAATTTAATCCTCCAGAAACGACAGAACAAATAATGCAACAAATATTGTGGTTAAATTCAAATATACTAATTGACAAAAAACCTTTATTTTTTGACAGAATGTTTAAAAAAGGTATAATCTTCGTAAATGATATCATCGGTAGGACTGGTGGAGTTATGTCGCACATGCAGCTAACAAAAACATATGGAAATGTCTGCTCTACCCAAAATTACAACCAAATAATTGCAGCCTTACCGCAAAAGTGGTAGAGGAAAGTGGAAGGGGGAGAAAGTAAAGAACTACAATTTGAGGTATGGGACCAAAACAGCTGTGAAGTTTAACCTCGCGCTTTAAAGCTCTTAGTTTTTGCGGAAATTGACCCACAATGCTGTTTACTTTGTGCACCTACGTTATATCGCTGAGTCTACCTTTTAGATAATTATGATGACAGCAAAATTACTTTTCCCTCACTACCAGGCCACGCCGCACCAGGGGGCCTATTCCCGGGAAGAGGAGCTCCTTAGGGAGCGGAAGCGCCTGGGAGCGTTTGGGATCACTTCCTATGACTACAACACCCAGACCGGCCTGTTCCTCTTCCAGGCCAGCAACAGCCTCTTCTATTGCCAGGACGGGGGCAACAATGGCTTCATCGTGAGTCTTACCCCGTTATCGTCAATTGCATGAACTTATAAAGCCTTTCCTACATCTACAATTGCCACTAAGTGCGTTACACTAACTTTGATTATTAGCTGCGTCATTTAATGTAATTTTAACATCATATAGTTGGGACGAGCATTAGTGCATGAACTGCACAGCACCCAACGCCACAGCAATGAATGGCTGTTGCTGTGTGTATGGTTGTGTGTTCAGGGTTGTATTCATTAAGGCACACTGTAGAAAAAAACATTTTTCAATGGAAAAACGAAAACAAGCAGTTCTATTGGACAAGTTGAGGTCATCCCTGTTTCAGTCTGTTTTGTTCAGTTTGGTGCCTAATGAATACGACCCTGTACACTAAGAGTGTGTTTCCTGGTTTAAAAGCAGTCTGCGCCCATGAAGCCAGTGGAGATTAAGACACAGTGCTCAGGGACCCGCATGGACCCCAAGATCTCCCCAGGAGAGCCCAACATCATTGCTTTCATCAACAACAACGACCTGTGGCTGGCTAACATTAAGTCTGGGGAGGAGAGGAGACTCACCTTCTGTCACAAAGGTCAGAGGGGTCAGGGACTTTTGGAAGTTTGTGTACTGTAGTTGTATGGAATTGTATACACTCTCAATGCCATGTTGCTGACACTGCATGTATTTCATGAAATGAATGAATCCCCTCCCTGGGTCAGGTCTGGATAATGTGAAGGAGGACCCCAAGTCTGCGGGCGTGGCCACGTTTGTGATCCAGGAGGAGTTTGACCGCTTCACTGGCTACTGGTGGAGTCCCTTAGCCGTAGAGGGTGAGTAGGCAGGGTCACCATCTATCACTCCCTCCTTATGACTAGAGAAGGACCCATGTTCATGTGAGAAATTGGACTTCTTCTTTAATCAAACAGTCAGTCAGTCATGCTTTGATGAACGTCGTACAGGCTTTAACTTGCCCCAGACACTGTCATCATGAAGCTAGGTCTGTCATTAATGCTAGCTGTATCTGTATGCATTTCCAAGAGCATGTAATCAGTTCTGTCTGTCTAACCTACTCTTCTCCTCTGTTAGACTCTGATGGGGGGAAAACCCTGCACCTGCTGTATGAAGAGGTGGATGAGACTGAGGTAGAGATCATTCATGTTCCCTCTCCAGCCCTGGAGGAGCGGAAGGCCGACGCCTACAGATACCCCCGCACAGGTGAGTCCCTCTGGTGCTGGTTTAGTCTCCATGGCGCTGGTTTAGTCCCCATGGTGCTGGTTGAGGCCCCCTGGCGCTGCATTGTATGTAAATGTAGTGACATATTTTGCCTGATGACTCAAACTGAATTATTCTGCTGCTCTATGGTTTGTGGAGGCGTCAAAATGAGGGGTGTTGTACAAAACAAAGTCATCAGTGATTGGATCATCTCTAACCAATCAGAGTATCAAAGCCAATTACGTATTTTCAAAACGTCGCTTTACCCACGTGTGTTCTGGCTCTGGCCCAACCCATCGGTTTCTGGGACCAATCAGAACGTCAGGAATGGGTTTGCGTTCTAGAAATCGCCGGGGAGGTACTCCGACACAGACTCATTGTGGAGAAGAAACTAACATCCGTGGTCGGGGCGTAGCATTTGGCCAGAGCAAGGAGTTTGGGTAGCCAGGCAATCATACAGTATTAGCAATTACCTAATAAATTCATTTCAAGAGTAGACCACTATAATTATTTTTTTCTTTTCTTTTTCTAGGCAGTAAAAATCCTCAAACCACCCTGAAACTGGCTCAGATAAAGACTGACAAACAAGGCCAAGTAAGTGGCAGCTGCTTTTGAGTTCTCTCTTTTAATTATCTTATTTTGCTCTCACTGTAGTGTGTTCACGAGGAGACTGATGTGTGTGTGTGTGTGTGTGTGTGTGTGTGCGTGTCTCCAGATCGTGAGCACACAAGACAAGGAGCTGGTTCTCCCCTTCACCTCCCTGTTCCCTGGGACGGAGTACATCTCCCGCGCAGGATGGACGACTGATGGCAAATAGTGAGTGTTACGACATAATGTTTCCCCAGGAAACACTGCTTTTGACATCTCTCTGATGCTGTTTGGCTTACATTGGTGATGGTTAGGGCTGGGGGACGGGAAAAGTTGTCCCCCAATTCCGCAGAAAGCTTAGTTGATTAATTAAATCAGTTGTGTTAGTGTTGAGCTCAAACACAAGCCTGCCTACTCGGTAGCGCTCTAGGACCAGGTTTGGTGTCCTCTGAGCTAACAGAAAGGACAAGGCATTAGTGTACTGTGTATAAATGATCCAGTCAGTAAGGGAATGTGTGTTTCTGTCTCCCCCCAGTGGTTGGGCCGTGCTGCTGGACCGCAGTCAGAGGAGGCTCCAGCTGGTGCTGCTGCCCCCGGCCCTCTTCATCCCCGTCACAGACGACCCGGCCCAGAGGCAGAAGAACCTGGAGGCTGTGCCCGTGGACGTCCACCCCTACATCGTCTATGAGGAGACCACCGACATCTGGATCAATGTGAGATAGCCATGGGCCAGGGAAGGGGGCCAATGGTGGGGATAATATTCAGGGGGTGGAACTTCTCTTTGGGGGGGTGCTACACTGGGCACATCTGGGTCATGTTTACTAAGCATGAACAGTAAAACTATCTGATAGTTATTTGAAGGGCTATATATTGACAGTGTGAGGGTGTATGTATGTTGACATACAGTGCCTTCGGAAAGTATTCAGACCCCTTGACTTTTTCCACATTTTGTTACATTACAGCCTAATTCTAAAATTGATTACATTGTTTCCCCCCCCCTCATCAATCTACACACAATATCCCATAATGACAAAGCAAAAACAGGTTGTTAGAAATCTTTGCTAATTTATAAAATAAAAAGGGAAATATTACATTTACATAAGTATTCAGACCCTTTACTCAGTCCTTTGTTGAAGCACCTTTGGCAGCGATTTACAGCATCGGTCTTCTTGGGTATGACGCTACAAGCTTGGCACACTGCGCTGTCTTGGCTGTGTGCTTCGGGTCCTGTTGGAAGGTGAACCTTCGCCCCAGTCTGAGGTCCTGAGCGCTCTGGAGCAGGTTTTCATCAAGGATCTCTCTGTACTTTGCTCCGTTCATCTTTGCCTCGATCCTGACTAGTCTCCCTGCCGCTGAAGAACATCCCCACAGCATGATGCTACCACCACCATGTGTCACCGTAGGGATGGTGCCTGGTTTCCTCCAGATGTGACGTTTGGCGTTCAGGCCAAAGAATCTTGTTTCTCATGGTCTGAGAGTCTGTCATGTGCCTTTTACTGAGGAGTGGCTTCCATCTGGCCACTCTACCATAAAGGCCTGATTGATGGAGTGCTGCAGAGATGGTTGTCCTTCTGGAAGTTTCTCCCATCTCCACAGAGGAACTCTAGAGCTCTGTCAGTGACCATCGGTGGTCTTGGTCACCTCCCTGACCAAGGCCCTTCTCCCCCGATTGCTCAGTTTGGCCGGGCGGCCAGCTCTAGAAAGAGCCTTGGTGGTTCCAAACTTCTTCCATTTTAAGAATGATGGAGGCCACTGTGTTCTTTGGAACCTCCAATGCTGCAGAAATGTTTTGGTACCCTTCCCGAGATCTGTGCCTTGACACAATCCTGTCTCGGAGCTCTACGGACAATTCCTTCGACCTTATGGCTTGGTTTTTGCTCTGACATGCACTGTCAACTGTGGGACCTTTATATAGACAGGTGTGTGCCTTTCCAAATCATGTCCAATCAATTGAATTTACCACAGGTGGACTCCTATCAAGTTGTAGAAACATCTCAAGAATGATCAATGGACACAGGATGCACCTGAGCTCAATTTTGAGTCTCATAGCAAAGGGTTTGAATACTTATGTAAATAAGGTATTTCTTTGTATTATTCTTAATACATTTGCTAAAATTTCTACAAAACTTTCACTTTGTAATTATGGGGCATTGTGTGTAGATTGCTGATGATTTTTATTTATTTAATCCATTTTAGAATAAGGCTGTAACGTAACAAAATGTGGATAAAGTCAAAGGGTCTGAATACTTTCCGAAGGCACTGTATGTATTTGCATGGAAGAATCGGGCCACAACAAACTAACAACTATGTTTTTCTGTTGTCCACAGGTTCATGATATTTTCTATCCATTCGTTCAAACGTCAGAGGATGAGTTCTCTTTCATATGGGTGAATGAATCCAAAACGGGCTTCAGCCATCTGTATAAAAACACATCAACATTGCAACCAGGCTGCTACCAATGGTCAGGAAACTACGAACACACAGAGGGTAAGACATTAGAATAGAGAGTTAAAAACAATATACAACCTAGCCCAGATCTGTGTGTGCTGTCTGGCCAATTCCATTGCTGTCATTAACCAGGTTTTCCATAATAAAACTCATGTCAGGCCTGATGGAAACAGCAAATGTGCAAAATCCCGACCCAAAAAAATAAGCTTGAGAAGGCGGAATAAGTTTGGTTAAATAGATTATGTGACAATTGCGGATGAAACACAGTTATGCACAACTTTTGATATAATAACCAGTAAGAGTCACTCGATGATATGTTACATTGTAGCCTACTACCACCAGCATAGGTAGATGAAATCAGTTATGATGTACTTCACACGGTGATGAGCTTTATGCAAATGTCCAATAAATATAGAGCAGTGGTACTCAACACTTAAGCTACGAGGTCCGGAGCCTGCTGGTTTTCTGTTCTACCTGATAATGAATTGCACACATGTGGTGTCCCAGGTCTAAATCAGTCCCTGATTTAGAGGGGAACAATGAAAAAATGCAGTGGAACTGGCTTTGAGGTCCAGAGTTGAGTTTGAGGGATATAGAGGGTATTATTTGAATTCTGGTGACATGCCATTATCAAATTAAATGTTTTCTCACTTATCTATGATCTCATCGTATAACCTACCCTGTGCACTTTCAGTGAACTGTTGTCTAGAGTGCATGTGCCAAAACCAGATGGAGCAAGTTTGTTATTTATCACAACAGGTTTTGTGACAAAACCATTGTTAAACTTGAAAATGCGTGGTGCATGGAAATGGAAGCTCAAAAGGGCTTTTTTATGAGCACTGCATCATCACGCACACGCCTTTTTATCCGTCAGCTTGATGGAAACACCTCTGAGGACGTTTGAATATTCACATGACAATCTGTTGCAAGTTGGATGGAAACCTATCTATTGTCATGTTTTGTGTGATGGCACAAACAGATCTGGGACTCAGGCGTTTTCCTTCCTTCCTTGACCTAATCACTGATCTGTATGTGTCGCGATTTAATGAAGGCGAGAATGTAAATCTGGCCAATGTAATAAAAGACGTCAAAATAGCTTCTCTAATCTCTATGGTATTTTCCTCTGTAGGAGACTTTAAATGTGCAATCAAGGAGGAGGTGACTCTGACCAGTGGGGAGTGGGAGGTTTTGGCCAAGCATGGCTCCAAGGTAGGACCTTCCGTCAATCAGATTAAAACCCTTATTGTCACAGTGCATTATAAAATATCTTTATAATGGACTTTTGTTTGTGCCCACGTTATTGTAAGTTTATAATGCACGTTCTGCCATCAATATAAATCTCTTCTGTGATCTCGCTCTCTCTCTCTCTCTCTCTAGATCTGGGTGAATGAGGCCTCTAAGCTGGTGTACTTCCAGGGCACTAGAGACACTCCTCTGGAGCACCACCTCTATGTGGTCAGCTATGAGTCCCCAGGAGATGTGGTCAGACTCACCAAGCCTGGCTTCTCCCACAGCTGCTCCGTCAGCAAGGTCGGGACTCACTCAACAAATATGATTTATCTAACCTTAAACAGGGTAGGAAGTATACGTTGACTCTTTGGGATGTCCTAACAGTATTAGGCTAGATGAGCGTTTTATTTTGTAACACTTATGGGGGTGCCTGGCATGCAGGGACCCCCCTCTGGCACCCCTGTAATTCCAACTCTTACCCCAAAATGTATTCTTGAAATCGGGCTACAGGGATTGATTGAATAGAGCCCTCTGTCACCTGTCATTGCATTCACAAGCTCTTATAAATATAAAACAAATTGGTCATTTAGCAGACGCTCTTATCCAGAGCAACTTACAGGAGCAATTAGGGTTAAGTGCCGTGTTCAAGGCCACATCGACAGATTTTTCACCTAGTCGGCTCGGGGATTAGAACCAGCGACCTTTCGGTTACTGGCACAACGCTCTTAACCACTAAGCTACCTGCCGCCTCTTCTGTGGCCATCTTGCCAAACAACACGGCTGCAGTAGGTAGTACCAACAAACACTGTAACATCCTGCCACTGACCTCAGTTAGACACACTGCACTCAATCATCCTCTCCCCACGCTACATGAGACCACACCACATATGTACCTTAGGGAGGTACAGCTGATCTCTTACCTATGAGAAGCCTGGATACATCAGGGAGTGTTGTGGAACTCTGCCCGTGTCATGCTGTGTAACCATCTGGTTAGTCAGCGTCACTGTGTGTCTGTGTGAGAGGATATTGATGGATGCTACTACAATGTAAGGGATTTGCCCTGGCCGTCGAACAGATTGGGCAGAGTAGACATTGCTGTATAGTTGGTTGTATGGCCTGTTGTGTGGGCATCTGGACCCTCTGTGATGTGGAGTTATCCAGGGAGGTGGTTCTAAACCTGATGGTCTCAGATCTGTTGTGATTTTTCAGATGTACCTCTGACATTGTAAAGTGAGAGACAAAGCTGGCATGAAATCAGGGCCCAGTGACATTCTGTCTCCGATGTGAAGATTAATTCACAGCTTTTCATCTCTCTTTGTCTCCTTCTCTCACTCCTTCTTATCACTGTATCTCCCCTCTTCCTTTTTCACTGTATCCCCCCTTTCTATTGCTCTCTCTTGTACTCTACTCCCTGTCTTTTTCTCTCTCCCCAGGACTTTGACATGTTTGTCAGCCACTACAGTAGCGTGAGCACTCCCCCCTGCCTCCACATCTACAAGCTGACTGGCCCAGAGGGAGACCCTCTCCACATGGTGCCGGAGTTCTGGGCCAGCATGATGGAAGCCCCAGGTAAGGAAGAGAGGAGGCTTTATGCCCCATTCCAATAGCTCATAAGGAATTTATACATTATATTCTTCAAGAATAAATGGGTATATATCATTACTTTAAAAGTCCAAAAATTGATGTAGCAATCGCAGATTACCCTTTTAAAGACGTATCCTTCCTTCCTTGAGGCAATCACTGTACAGGTGTAAACTGTACCATGGGACTCTGAGTTACTCATGACCAGGGCCCGGTTTCCCGATAGCGATGGAATTTAGGCTTACGAGTGTTTTTAATGATGCATCTTTCCTACAACAGCCGAGATGTAGCATGCGTTTCCCAAAACACCACGCAGAGAGAACATTTGCTAAGTGCGTCGATGAGGCATTTGTCGAAACTGATAGGATCGAGAAAGGCAGCGCTGCTCTCTGATCAGCGTCCTCCCTTTCCAATCTTACCTTAACATTAGAAATATTCCACAATACTGAAGAGGGATCAGCTCCTAGAGAGATATTATCACCTATGGCTACAAATATTGAATGCTTACACTATAATAATGCACTAAATCAAGATGTGGCACATCATTGCTGACATCACACATCAGGAAATATATTGAGGCAAAAATGACAGACAGTAGCGTACAAATAGCTAAATAAAACTCAATTGAATTAAGTAACATTCAAATATACAGTGCATTCGGAAAGTATTCAGACCCCTTGACTTTTCACAAATGTTACGTTACAGCCTTATTCTAAAATGGATTTTAAAATTGTTTTCCTTGTCAATCTACACACAATACCCCATAATGACAAAGCAAAAAATGTTTTATAGAAATGTTTGCGTACTTAGCTGTTCTACGAGTGGTCTGAGGGAGTCGTTAAATAACAAGTGTTTTCAAGAGCAACTTTAGTAACGATGGTTTCGGGAAACAGCTCAGATTTAACGATGTTCCTACGAAGGTTCTAACGATGAACGTAGCCTTAAGATGCTTTTGGGAAACCGGGCCCTGTTGTGTAAGATCCGTGATTACTTCGAGGAGGAATGGAGTAAATCAATGCTGCCGAAAAAACACACAGTAAGACAATATAATACTTTGATTTTAGACTGCCCTTTACTTAATCACTTCTCGGAGTTACCCATCCCATATGACTCACTATTTCTCAGTATTGCACTGCTTTATAAGCCAAGTATATTACAACATCATTAAAAGTGAGGTCATTGGCCAGGGTGTTTCATAGTGACTTTTGCACCATAGGGAAACCAAGCTAAATCCAGAGCTTATTAAATAATCACATTGATCTATTTTGGAGTAAGATTTTGTACATAATTAAGAGATTCGTATCGGCTAAGTGAAAAGTCAGAGCAAGTGTGAAGGCCGGCTATCTTAGTATTTTAGGAACAAAACAATCAATCGAGAACTACCCCCCTCCAACCCTGTTCCTGGAGAGCTACTGTCCTGTAGGTTTTCACTCCAACCCTGTTCCTGGAGAGCTACTGTCCTGTAGGTTTTCACTCCAACCCTGTTCCTGGAGAGCTACCGTCCTGTAGGTTTTCACTCCAACCCTGTTCCTGGAGAGCTACTGTCCTGTAGGTTTTCACTCCAACCCTCATGTAGTGATGAATAATTAGCTGGTTGATAAGCTGAATCCGGTCAGTTACAACATGGTTGGAGGGAAAACCGACAGGGTAGCTCTACAGAACCAGGGTTGGAGAACCCTGATCTAGAAATATAAAGTTGAGGCTGAGCATTTATTATTTCAAGGCAGTGGCGTCATCAGGATTGTTTCATTGCGTTAACTAATCATTCGTTTGGTCGTAGCTTAGGGGTAGCTTGATCATTGTGTGGGGATGGTGACGAGGTAGTCATGTTTTAACATTTGGAATTATTAGTCATGTGAGCAATTTAATGTAAATGAATGTTCTATGAAGCATTTGTTTTTCTATATGTATCTTTGTGTGTATTCAAGGTTGCCCAGCAGACTATAAATCTCCAGAAATCTTTGACTTCCCGGGAAAGTCAGGCTTCCAGCTCTATGGAATGGTGTACAAGCCTCACAACCTCCAGCCTGGCAAGAAGCATCCCACAGTCCTCTTTGTCTACGGTGGCCCGCAGGTTTGTGGCTTCTCTCAGACGTTACAATTTTCTTATTAGATCAGGAATTCCTTATAGAAATCCAGTCAGATCTGTGAGCACCAAAGGGGGAAGGAGTCACGGACGACTAGTAAAGCTGCATAAGACAAAGACATGTTTACCCAAGCACATATGCACTACCAGTCAAAAGTTTGGACACACCTACTCATTCAAGGGTTTTTCTTTATTTTTACTATTTTTTACACTGTAGAATAATAGTGAAGACATCAAAACTATGAAATAACACATATGGAATGAAGGAACCAAAAAAGTGTTAAACAAATAAAAATATATGTTATATTTGAGATTCTTCAAATAGCCACCCTTTGCCTTGATGACAGCTTTGCACACTCTTGGCATTCTCTCAACCAGCTTCATGAGGTAGTCACCTGGAATGCATTTCAATTAACAGGTGTGCCTTCTTAAAAGTTAATTTGTGGAATGTCTTAATGCGTTTGAGCCAATCAGTTGTGTTGTGACAAGGTAGGGGGGGGTATACAGAAGATAGCCCTATTTGGTAAAAGACCAAGTCCATATTACGGCAAGAACAGCTCAACTAAGCAAAGAGAAACTACAGTCCATCATTACTTTAAGACATGAAGGTCAGTCAATACGGAACATTTCAAGAACTTTGAACGTTTCTTCAAGTGCAGTCGCAAAAACCATCTAGCGCTATGATGAAACTGGCTCTCATGAGGACCACCACAGGAATGGAAGACCCATAGTTACCTCTGTTCATTAGCGTTACCAGCCTCAGAAATTGCAGCCCAAATAAATGCTTCACAGAATTCAAGTCACAGACACATCTCAACATCAATTATTCAGAGGGGACTGTGTGAATCATGCCTTCATGATCGAATTGCTGCAAATAAACCACTACTAAAGGACACCAATAAGAAGAGACCTGCTTGGGCCAAGGAACACGAGCAATGGACATTAGACCGGTGGAAATGTGTCCTTTGGTCTGGAGTCCAAATTTGAGATATTTGGTTCCAACCGCCGTGTCTTTGTGAGACGCGGTGTGGGTGAACGGATGATCTCCGCATGTTTAGTTCCCACCGTAAGGCATGGAGGAGGAGGTGTTATGGTGTGGGGGTGCTTTGCTGGTGACACTGTCTGTGATTTATTTGTGGAATTTCTTAATGCGTTTGAGCCAACAAGTGCTAAGCATATGTGGGAACTCCTTCAAGACTGTTGTAAAAGCATTCCAGGTGAAGCTGGTTGAGAGAATGCCAAGCATATGCAAAAAACCCTTGACTGAGTAGGTGTGTCCAAACATTTGACTGATACTGTTTTTATACTTTCCTCCTATGCTGAGTCTCCTCCTTGCACATCTGGACAGTCAATACATCTCTGTTGCTAGACAGGACTGATGCCTGTTCTTTCTCACTTCATCTGACCTAACCTCGGTCCAAATTCCTCACTCCTCCCCAACTCACGTCTGTCCTACCTTATCTGTTGACTGGAACCAGACTGTGACCCTTCTCCTCTCCATAGGATACCTCAGATTTAACAAGAACATGTTCTTCCTGCACTCCCCTTTTATCATTCAGTAGATTTCCATACCCTCAGTTCTAATATGGTAACATGAATAAGGATATTTCATATTTAAAGTTTTAAAGTTAGTACCCAACACAGGTTAGGAGAACTTATGCAGCAGGTTAGGATAATTTTAAAGTAGCATGTTAGGAGTATTAGGTTAGGGTTAGCTCACAATTTTGATGTACATTTGACAAAAGATGGATCCCATCTAGACATGACCAGGAGCCAGGGGCTGAAATGGACTTGTCCTTAATGTCCTTTATGACCTGTTTTGTAACTAGTAATCATAGCCAATATTTTCCAGTCATAGCCAATACTTTCCTTGGAAATAGCCATACCAAGCTCTGTCATCTTGTTGTTTTTCACGTAAAGTAGCAAGACAATGCTGAAGTCCTGTGGTCTCTATAGAGCTGACTCTATAGGGCTGACCCAAACCTTACTGTGATGTCTAAAATATATATATATTTTTACATTCTCCTTTCCGGCATGGTTCGAACAACTGTGGTGTATGCGTAATCAGGCCAGCCCAGTACAGCTCTGCTCGGCTCAGCTCTGCTAGGCTTGGCTCAGTGGTGTGAAAAGGGTATGTGTGTGTCCACAGGTCCAGTTGGTGAATAACTCCTTCAAGGGGATGAAGTACCTGCGTCTCAACACCCTCGCCTCTCTGGGATACGTTGTGGTGGTCATCGATGGGAGGGGCTCCTGTCAGAGAGGCCTGAAGTTTGAAGGGGCTCTGAAAAACAAAATGGTAGAAAGCCACTATTTCCCTTCCAACCCATATCTTGTTTTTTGTTTATAAATGGTTTCAATACAAATTGTTCCATCTTTTTGTGATTAAGCATTAAAGCTGGAATCTTTAATGATGAAACTGCCACGTACGTTTACGATATTACAACAACAAGGAAGTTAGTGCAAACAACTAACACAGTTTTTCCCCCTCGGACGTCATCGCACGCATGATAGAAGAGCACAATATGTACTGCCATTTGTTTTACCCTGCTGCACGACGCTCCTCAGCTCGGCAACAAAACAATAACGGTGGTAGGGTGTCCAGTGGCTCTGTTTCCCCATGCTGTGGATTCAATCTTTAAGCTACCTGTGTTCTGCTGTAGATACAGCAATGGCAAATTGTACTGTGCCAACAAAGGCTGTTCTTGCTGTGCAGGTTCATTAAAACGCATTGGATCACCATATAGCGTGTGCAGGGACCCTTTTTTTCGTTAATAATACTTCATTAATTAATGGAACAGCACCTGTGTGACTATCTCTCACACATCTTTGATCTTTGATCTAGACCAGGTGCTCTTTAACTTTTTCTGCTTGAGACCCAAATGAGAAATTGACCGTCCTCCCGTGACCCAAATTAAGAAGAAAATGTGTGAAATTTACCCATCTGGGCATGTGGGTGTGTCACTGTGACCAATGCCCTCCTCTCTCTCTGTGTTTTACCAGCGCCAGGTGGAGACTAATGCCCTCCTCTCTCTCTGTGTTACTAGGGCCAGGTGGAGATTGAGGACCAGGTGGAGGGGCTTCAGTACGTGTCAGAGAGGTTCAACTTTGTGGACCTGAGTCGCGTGGCCATCCACGGCTGGTCCTACGGAGGCTTTCTCTCCCTCATGGGCCTCATCCAGAGACCCAACGTCTTCAAGGTGAGACGCACTACAGTAAAACACACAATTCCATTCCCCTATCCCAATTCACTTGATGATCTGAGTAGATTAGATGGGTATAAGTAATATGATAATAGCTCCACATTACCCTCCGATTGGCTAGGGGGAATTTTCCCATATTGCTTACACCTATTTAAACATTTTAGATTTACAGGAGTGGCTAGGGTAGGGATAGCTGCCAGGCGATTTGGGATTCCAAAGAGACTTCATTGGACTAGAACTATCTTGGATTGCGTTTTATTCCAGAAAGTTTAATCCCATCCCATCTCATTTACAATGCAGATTAGACTGCATTTAGTTGATTATAGATTGGCCTATTGGTGAGGATAGGTTTGATTATTTGAAGCTCATCAAATACGACATTCTGTATGGATGTAGTTTTCCCATTAGGCCTCATGGTGTCGCTGTTGGGTCACATGTCATTCCACACTGCAGTTCTCAAAGTGCCTGTCATTAGTTGTACACAGCACACTGGCAAAGATCAACAAGTGTTTAAAAAAAACATATTTGGAGCAAATTAGGGTTGAGTGTCATGCTCAAGGGCACATGGACAGATTTTTTTGTTGTTGCCCTTGTCAGCTCCGGTATTCAAACCATCAACCTTTCAGTTACTGGCCCAATGTTCTAACTGCTACGCTATACCTGTATATCTCTCACCAGCATATATACCTGTATATCTCTCACCAGCATATATACCTGTATATCTCTCACCAGCATAGATACCTATATATCTCTCACCAGCATATATACCTGTATATCTCTCACCAGCATATATACCTGTATATCGCTCACCAGCATATATACCTGTATATCGCTCACCAGCATGTATACCTGTATATCGCTCACCAGCATATATCAGCATATACAATTGAAGTCGGAAGCTTACATACACCTTAGCCAAATACATTTAAACTCAGTTTTTCACAATTGCTGACATTTAATCCTAGTAAAAATTCCCTGTTTTAGGTCAGTTAGGATCACCACTTTATTTTAAGATTGTGAAATGTCAGAATAATAGTAGAGAGAATGATTTATTTCAGCTTTTATTTCTTTCATCACATTCCCAGTGGGTCAGAAGTTTACATACACTCAATTAGTATTTGGTAACATTGCCTTTAAATTGTTTAACTTGAAAAATGTATGCACTCACTAACTGTAAGTTGCTCTGGATAAGAGCTTCTGCTAAATGACAAAAATGTAAATGTAAATGTCAAACGTTTCGGGTAGCCTTCCACAAGCTTCCCACAATAAATTGGGTGAATTTTGGCCCATTCCTCCTGACAGAGCTGGTGTAACTGAGTCAGGTTTTGTAGGCCTCCTTGCTCGCACACGCCTTTTCAGTTCTGCCCACAAATGTTCTATAGGATTGAGGTCAGGGCTTTGTGATGGCCACTCCAATACCTTGACTTTGTTGTCCTTAAGCCATTTTGCCACAACTTTGGAAGTATGCTTGGGGTCATTGTCCATTTGGAAGACCCATTTGCGACCAAGCCTTTAACTTCCTGACTGATGTCTTGAGATGTTGCTTCAATATATCCACATAATTTTCCTTCCTGATGATGCCATCTATTTTGTGAAGTGCACCAGTCCCTCCTGCAGCAAAGCACCCCCACAGCATGATGCTGCCACCCCCGTGCTTCACGATTGGGATGGTGTTCTTCGGCTTGCAAGCTTTCCCTTTTTCCTCCAAACATAAACGATGGTCATTATGGCCAAACAGTTCTATTTTTGTTTCATCAGACCAGAGGACATTTCTCCAAAAAGTACGATCTTTGTCCCCATGTGCAGTTGCAAACCGTAGTCTGGCTTTTTTATGGCGGTTTTGGACCAGTGGCTTCTTCCTTGCTGAGCGGCCTTTCAGGTTATGTCGATATAGGACTTGTTTTACTGTGGATATAGATACTTTTATACCTATTTCCTCCAGCATCTTCACAAGGTCCTTTGCTGCTGTTCTGGGATTGATTTGCACTTTTCGCACCAAAGTACGTTCATCTCTAGGAGACAGAACACGTCTCCTTCCTGAACGGTATGACGGCTGCGTGGTCCCATGGTGTTTATACTTGCGTACTATTGTTTGTACAGATGAACATGGTACCTTCAGGTGTTTGGAAATTGCTCCCAAGGATGAACCAGACTTGTGGATGTCTACAATTGTTTTTCTGAGGTCTTGGCTGATTTCTTTTGATTTTCCCAGGATGTCAAGCAAAGAGGCACTGAGTTTGAGGGTAGGCCTTGAAATACATCCACAGGTACACCTCCAATTGACTCAAATGATGTCAATTAGCCTATCAGAAGCTTCTAAAGCCATGACATCATTTTCTGGAATGTTCCAAGCTGTTTAAAGGCACAGTCAACTTAGTGTATGTAAACCTCTGACCCACTGGAATTGTGATACAGTGAAATAATCTGTCTGTAAACAATTGTTGGAAAAATGACTTGTGTCATGCAGAAAGTAGATGTCTTAACCGACTTGCCAAAACTATAGTTTGTTAACAAGAAATTTGTGGAGTGGTTGAAAAACAAGTTTTAATGACTCCAATCTAAGTGTATGTAAGCTTCCGACTTCAACTGTATACCAGTATATCTCTCACCAGCATATATACCAGTATATCTCTCACCAGCATATATACCAGTATATCTCTCACCAGCATATATACCAGTATATCTCTCACCAGCACCAGAGGTAATAGGGGGCGTATTCAGACTCTTGTCAATATATACATTACTGCTCGACAGAAATAGGGCTTCATTGAACCATTAAATAGCAATGAACAGAAGTTTAGACATGCCACACAATCACTGCATGCCACCACCCTGCTATGCTGAACAAATTCCCACAACATCCATCTTCTCAAAAGCAGTTTGATCTGTCATGTTGCACTAATGTAGAAAGTTAACACAAGCTGAAGTGTGATGGTACAATGCATCTGAAATGTCTTAGTTGTCTGTCCCAGTGGAGGTTGGTGGAGGGAGGAATGGGAGGACAGGCTCATTTTAATGCTGTCCCTACTGAACCCCCCCCCCAAAGAAATAGCAATGTTGTTCCTTTCAGGTGGCCATAGCGGGCGCTCCGGTGACGGTGTGGATGGCGTACGACACGGGCTACACAGAGCGCTACATGGACACCCCTGATAACAACCAACAGGGCTACGAGGAGGGCTCCGTGGCGCTGCATGTGGACAAGCTGCCCAGCGAGTCAGTCCCATACTGTTTACTGCACTCTACACACTTGAACCAATCTAAGAAATAAGAATAGCCTACTTATCTACAGTGGGGGAAAAAAGTATTTAGTCAGCCACCAATTGTGCAAGTTCTCCCACTTAAAAAGATGAGAGAGGCCTGTCATTTTCATCATAGGTACACGTCAACTATGACAGACAAAATGGAGAAAAAAAATCCAGAAAATCACATTGTAGGATTTTTTTATGAATTTATTTGCAAATTATGGTGGAAAATAAGTATTTGGTCAATAACAAACGTTTCTCAATACTTTGTTATATACCCTTTGTTGGCAATGACACAGGTCAAACGTTTTCTGTAAGTCTCCACAACGTTTTCACACACTGTTGCTGGTATTTTGGCCCATTCCTCCATGCAGATCTCCTCGCTGGGCAACACAGACTTTCAACTCCCTCCAAATATTTTCTATGGGGTTGAGATCTGGAGACTGGCTAGGCCACTCCAGGACCTTGAAATGCTTCTTACGAAGCCACTCCTTCGTTGCCCGGGCGGTGTGTTTGGGATCATTGTCATGCTGAATGACCCAGCCACGTTTCATCTTCAATGCCCTTGCTGATGGAAGGAGGTTTTCACTCAAAATCTCACGATACATGGCCCCATTCATTCTTTCCTTTACACGGATCAGTCGTCCTGGTCCCTTTGCAGAAAAACAGCCCCAAAGCATGATGTTTCCACCCCCATGCTTCACAGTAGGTATGGTGTTCTTTGGATGCAACTCAGCATTCTTTGTCCTCCAAACACGACAAGTTGAGTTTTTACCAAAAAGTTCTATTTTGGTTTCATCTGACCATATGACATTCTCCCAATCCTCTTCTGGATCATCCAAATGCACTCTAGCAAACTTCAGACGGGCCTGGACATGTACTGGCTTAAGCAGGGGGACACGTCTGGCACTGCAGGATTTGAGTCCCTGGCGGCGTAGTGTGTTACTGATGGTAGGCTTTGTTACTTTGGTCCCAGCTCTCTGCAGGTCATTCACTAGGTCCCCCCGTGTGGTTCTGGGATTTTTGCTCACCGTTCTTGTGATCATTTTGACCCCACGGGGTGAGATCTTGCGTGGAGCCCCAGTTCGAGGGAGATTATCAGTGGTCTTGTATGTCTTCCATTTCCTAATAATTGCTCCCACAGTTGATTTCTTCAAACCAAGCTGCTTACCTATTGCAGATTCAGTCTTCCCAGCCTGGTGCAGGTCTACAATTTTGTTTCTGGTGTCCTTTGACAGCTCTTTGGTCTTGGCCATAGTGGAGTTTGGAGTGTGACTGTTTGAGGTTGTGGACAGGTGTCTTTTATACTGATAACAAGTTCAAACAGGTGCCATTAATACAGGTAACGAGTGGAGGACAGAGGAGCCTCTTAAAGAAGAAGTTACAGGTCTGTGAGAGCCAGACATCTTGCTTGTTTGTAGGTGACCAAATACTTATTTTCCACCATAATTTGCAAATCAATTCATTAAAAATCCTACAATGTGATTTTCTGGATTTTCTTTTCTCAATTTGTCTGTCATAGTTGACGTGTACCTATGATGAAAATTACAGGCCTCTCTCATCTTTTTAAGTGGGAGAACTTGCACAATTGGTGGCTGACTAAATACTTTTTTTCCCCACTGTATATTTATATAGTGTAGATGAAGGTACAATGTTGTGGTCAGTTCTATTTTCTATTTTATTGGTCATTGTTGGATAACAGGCATGGGTTTTGAGCAACAACAAAAAACGTATTTGTATTTTGGGTGTTTCTCAGGACAGATGGGATGTTGTTATTGAGTTTCACCATAAACATTTCTATCTGTATAATACATTAACATAACAGGATATACTTACTGTAGTGTAGTATATAAAAAAAGAAGGGGAACATGAAAATTGAACCTGTTTTAGTTTCATGTGGTTTCTGTCTGTTTCCATCCTTTTGAAACCCTCTCCTTGTCCTCCCAGGCCAAACCGCTTGCTGATTTTACATGGATTCCTTGATGAGAATGTTCACTTTTTCCATACCAACTTCCTGGTGTCACAAATAATCCGCGCTGGGAAGCCATATCAGCTACAGGCTAGTATTTTGCTTTTTACAACATTACTAATGTGTTGTTCACATTTCTAAATCAGTGTTAAAGGCATGTTATGGGTAACAGTCACCCCTATTGATATAGGTTTTCTCCAACATGGACATTGTTTGCACAATTAGAGAAAAATACTCTTCCATGTGCTTTCAGTGGGGCCCAGAAGAGGACTGGTATGTTCCTGTATAGCATGAAGCTAGTTATTGTACAGTGGATCTTAGCCAATACTTTAATGGACAATGACTTTAATGGACAATGACTTTAATGGACAACTCTTTCGTTTGAATGGGTTTCAGGGAATATTGCGTTTTCAGAAAATTAGTGGTTGATTTTCCTCTGTTGTTTTGCAGGTCTACCCCAATGAGCGACACAGTATTCGCTGCCCAGAGTCAGGAGAACACTATGAGATCATGCTGCTGCACTTTCTACAACAATACCTCTGAAACCGGGGGTGAAGGTCAACCTCCCCCTCCACCCCCTCCACCCCATACTGAAACCAACTCTATACCCCCTCAACCCGGGCATAAAGACCACCTCTCTGCAGCCACACCCACCTACCCCCCATTTTACCATGGACTGACGATCTCACTCCATTATACCTCCACCTCTCTTCGTCGCTTGCTATCTCTCTCTCTCTCTCTTCTATTCTTAAATTCTCTCGCCACTGCATTAGGGTGGGGTGCAGTTACCTAAGGAGATCCAAGGCAGTGTTGTCAAGGCAGTGTTGTCAAGTTTCACCTCGGACCGTGGAATGAAACGGGATATACATTATCTGGAGGCTGTGTCACAATCCCTCTCTAATTGTCTTCCCTTTCTCTGGATTGTTTTGCCAAATGTTTTTATTTTCCCTCCATTTTATTCACTCAAGTCAGTGGTAGGATTGTCCACACACACACGCACACACACACACACACACACACACACACACACACACACACACACACACACAGCATATTGGAGTTGGTGTAATGGCTAGAGGAAGCAACCCTGCCTCTACTTGCGTTCATTTACTATTTTAAGTGTGTATTGTTAAAAGAAAATATTTTTATGGATTCTTATTCTTTTATAATGAGTGTCAAATGAAGTCGCTCATTGACGTCATTTTTGCGTCCTTTCTCTCCTCACGTTGCATTGGTGTCAGCCTTCTGAAGACATACGATGTGCCAAAGGACATCTTGACTTGATCGTGCTGGTATTTCCTTTTTTTTACGGCAATAACGATATGAGTATGAGCAGCCGAGTCTTAAACAGCTTTTTACTACCTGAATAAAATGGATACATGATGATGCTGAATAAATAAGTGTATGATGAAGTCTCTTCTCTTTAATGTTATAATTTATCACAGAATAACATGAAGATGGATGGTTGGATCTATGCATATATGGATGGATAGATACGGATAGACTGTAATTTTGTACATGATAACAAGCTCAGTGTCATGGTCAACTACAATGTGATTCATATGTTAAACACAGGGAATATCCTATATGTGCCATCTCAGGGCTAGTCATCTTTCCATGTGAATTGATATTCCTCTATGACCCTCCTGGTTCGTTGCAGAGAGGGGGAGACATCTCATGTAGTAAGGCTGCATTTACACAGGCAGCCCAATTCTGATTTTTGCTTTCACTGATTGGTCTTTTGACCAATCACATCAGATCTTTTCACAAAGATCAGAATTGGGCTGCCGTCTAAACGAGACATCTGTGCCTTTAATCATTGAGTCTTCCTGCGGGTACAGAGGGTTGATATGCTATCCACCATAGAATTAGGAATTTAATAGGGTCTCTATGCCAGAGCCATAAATTAAGATCGGATGTTAATACATTACTCTGCTCTATGCTATCCACCTTCCCTTTGGAGAAACGGTTGCCATGGATACCAGTGATCAATGCAGGCATTTAATAGATGAGCTCGCTGGAAGCAAGGGTGCTTGGAAGTGATTGATGTTACAGCTGCCTTGATGTTACTGAGTAGCCTCTGTAGGCTCTGCTGCATGAAGATTTAGCAGCCATTTTGAGCACCAGTTAGTGATGCAGTCGGGTGCAGCTGGAAATGGGAACTCAACCTTTATTAATTTAATTGTATATATTTTTTAAATATCAAATGGATAATCAAAGTAAGCTTTTACCCTTTGGCTACCTTTTTATTGATAAAAAACACAACATATTTCATTTGACATCCTCTACGGAAAATGCATCTCAATGTATTTTCCGTATGTTTGTGGTCCCTACAGAAAGTGAATTATGACGCTTGAAAGTCAGCATAAAAGCCTGAGTGTCACAGCAAGATAATAAACAATTGGCTCGAATCACACCCAGGCACCCAGGCAGTATGTAAATCGCTCTGCCCTCGAGGCAGAGCTGCCCTCAGAACAAGATTGAATAAGGAAAACTCAACCAAGCATTTGATATAGGTCAATCACGAACAGTAAGACATTGGGCATTGGACGTTCCTTCCTGTCCCTCACTCTCTCTGAAGGTGTTATAAAGCACATTAGCAGTAAGCCTGACACCTGACCAGATTTCTTGGTGTGAGACATTGAAGCTGACGGAAGTAAGCCACTGGACCTAGCTCGCTGTAAAATGACTTAACTGCTAATTTTGGGGAATACGAGAGGTACACCTGCATGGTGCCTCCAAGACACTGCTGCTCTACTATAACTTGGCTCAATCTCAACCCTAGCCTGCCTAGGGAGAGTTGTTTGCTTCCCTCAGGTATTCCATACAGATTTTATGAGGGCCAGAATGTAAAGTGAATTGGTGAAATTTTCTTTCCTCACTGTGGTGGAAAAATGGGAAATGCAAATCAAGAGCCAGGCGTGTGCTCTCACTACTTTTTACGATGATGGAATGGCTTCAGTACTGAAGGCTTGATAACATGCAATATTATCAAGCTTGGTAATATGCAAATAATTGAAATGAGGGCAAATACCACACATTGATTTGATAATCATGTTTGAACTCAGTTGTATCAGCTAATTTTCCGTCAATAAAACTAATTGGAAGAACCCTTACTCAGCCTTACTATGCAACAGCAAACAGATACAGTGCCTTCAGAAAGTATTTATACCCCTTGACTTATTCCACATTTTGTTGCGTTACAGCCTCAATTCAAAATTGATTAAATATTATTTTTTTCTCACACATCTACACATTAAAAATATGTTCTGTGTTCTAGAAAGACCTAGCAAAGCTGCAGCTGGCTCAAAGCAAAGCAGCATGCCTTGACCTTAACTGCACACACAGAACTAACATCAACAACATGAATGATAGTCTTTCATCAAATCAAAGTTTATAGGTCGCATACACATATTTAGCAAATGTTATTGTGGGTGTAGTGAAATGCTTGTGTTCCTAGCTCCAACAGTACAGTAATATCTAACAATACACAACAATACACACAAATCTCAAAAGTAAAAGAAGGGAATTAAGAAATATATTCGGACGAGCAATGTCGGAGTCCGGAGTGTGTGTATATACAGTACCAGTCAAAAGTTTGGACACGCCTACTCATTCAAGGGGTTTTCTTCATTTTTACTATTTTCTACATTGTAGAATAATAGTGAAAACATCACAACTATGAAATAACACATATGGAATCATGTAGTAACCAAAAAAGTGTTAAACAAATACAAATATATTTTATATTTGGGATTCTTCAAAGTAGCCACCCTTTCCCTTGATGACAGCTTTGCACACTCTTGGCATACTCTCAACCAGCTTCACCTGGAATGCTTTTCCAACAGTCTTGAAGGAGTTCCCACATATGCTGAGCACTTGTTGGCTGCCTTTCCTTCACTCTGTGGTCCGACTCATCCCAAACCAAAAATCTCAAATTTGGACTCATCAGACCAAAGGATAGATTTCCACCGGTCTAATGTCCATTGCTCGTGTTTCTTTGCCCATGCAAGTCTCTTCTTCTTATTGGTGTCCTTTAGTAGTGGTTTCTTTGCAGCAATTCAACCATGAAGGCCTGATTCACACATTCTCCTCTGAACAGTTGATGTTGAGATGTGTCTGTTACTTGAACTCTGTGAAGCATTTATTTGGGCTGCAATTTATGTGGCTGGTAACTCTAATGAACTTATCCTCTGCAGCAGAGGTAACTCTGGGTCTTCCCTTCCTGTGGCAGTCCTCATGAGAGCTAGTTTCATCATAGCACTTGATGGTTTTTGCGACTGCACTTGAAGAAACATTAATAGTTCTTGAAATGTTCCAGATTGACTGACCTTCATGTCTTAAAGTAATGATGGACTGTTGTTTCTCTTTGCTTATTTGAGCTGTTCTTGCCATAATATGGACTTGGTCTTTTGCCAAATAGGGCTATCTTCTGTATACCACCCCTACCTTGTCACAACACAACTGATTGGCTCAGAAATAAATTCCAAAATTAACTTTTAACAAGGCACACCTGTTTAATTGAAATGCATTCCTGGTGACTACCTCATGAAGCTGGTTGGGAGAATGCCAAGAGTGTGCAAAGCTGTCATCAAGGGAAAGGGTGGCTACTTTGAAGAATCTCAAATAGAAAATATATTTGTATTTGTTTAACACTTTTTTGGTTACTACATGATTCCATATGTGTTATTTCATAGTTTTGATGTCTTCACTATTATTCTACAATGTAGAAAATAGTAAAAAATAAAGAAAGACCTTTCAATGAGTAGGCGTGTCCAAACTTTTGACTGGTACTGTATATTTAGCTTTTGCAAAGTCATCAATACTGAATTGTGTTTGTTTGTCAACGCAACCAAATATCAACATCTGGTTACCATGATGAGATAATACTGTGGTTGAAATTTCCCCCTCAAAACAACAGTTGATGACTTTTTCAAATCCACATAGATTCCACGTCACAATACGTTGAGAATTAATGAACTAATATGTTCATTTTCCAGTTATGTTTTCGAGTTGGCTACTATGTTCATTTTACCGTTTTTTTTAGTTGGCTACTATGTTCATTTGAATGTTACTCCATTTTGGCTATTGGCTCACTTCTGAATTGTTTCTCCCGCTGCATCAGTGTGTTTAATCAGAGATCAGACAGCAAAATGATTTTATTGGCTGGTTCGAGCCAAAGAGGGCAGTGTTCAACCTCTGGGAGACCTCTAACCATTCAGAAACCTCCGTCAGATGGGTCTTAACATGTGGAAAATGCTTGGTTTCATGCAACACAAAACATGTTGGAACTCGCCTCATTCTATTCCATTCATTAGTCCCAAGGCTGATGCACTAACAGTCTGAGAGGCCCAGCATTGTTTTTAAACAGTGATTAAGAGTGAGCTCATACCACAGCTGTGGTGAAACACCCTTGCTAACTTTTCACTGCTAGATTCACATGTACAGTCGTGGTCAAAAGTTTTGAGAGTGACACAAATACTAATTTTCACAAAGTCTGCTGCCTCAGTTTTCATGATGGCAATTTGCATATACTCCAGAATGTCATGAAGAGTGATCAAATGAATTGCAATTAATTGCAAAGTCCCTCTTTGCCATGAAAATGAACTTAATTCCCAAAAAACATTTCCACTGCATTTCAGCCCTGCCACAAAAGGACCAGCTGCCATCATGTCAGTGATTCTCTCGTTAACACAGGTGAGAGTGTTGACGAGGACAAGGCTGGAGATCACTCTGTCATGCTGATTGAGTTAGAATAACAGACTGGAAGCTTTAAAAGGAGGGTGGTGCTTGAAATCATTGTTCTTCCTCTGTTAACCATGGTTACCTGCAAGGAAACACGTGCCGTCATCATTGCTTTGCACAAAAAGGCCTTCACAGGCAAGGATATTGCTGCTAGTAAGATTGCACCTAAATCAACCATTTATCAGATCATCAAGAACTTCAAGGAGAGAGGTTCAATTGTTGTGAAGAAGGCGTCAGGGCACCCAAGAAAGTCCAGCAAGCGCCAGGACCGTCTCCTAAAGTTGATTCAGCTGCGGGATCGGGGCACCACCAGTGCAAAGCTTGCTCAGGAATGGCAGCAGGCAGGTGTGAGTGCAACTGCACGCACAGTGAGGCGAATACTTTTGGAGGATGGCCTGGTGTCAAGAAGGGCAGCAAAGAAGCCACTTCTCTCCAGGAAAAACATCAGGGACAGACTGATATTCTGCAAAAGGTACAGGAATTGGACTGCTGAGGACTGGGATAAAGTCATTTTCTCTGATGAATCCCCTTTCCGATTGTTTGGGGCATCCGGAAAACACCTTGTCCGGAGAAGACAAGGTGAACGCTACCATCAGTCCTGTGTCATGCCAACAGTAAAGCATCCTGAGACCATTCATGTGTGGGGTTGCTTCTCAGCCAAGGGAGTGGACTCACTCACAACTTTGCCTAAGAACACAGCCATGAATAAAGAATGGTACCAACACATCCTCCGAGAGCAACTTCTCCCAACCATCCAAGAACAGTTTGGTGACGAACAATGCCTTTTCCAGCATGATGGAGCACCTTGCCATAAGGCAAAAGGGATGACTAAGTGGCTTGGGGAACAAAACATCGACATTTTGGGTCCATGGCCAGGAAACTCCCCAGACCTTAATCCCATTGAGAACTTGTGGTCGATCCTCAAGAGGCGGGTGGACAAACAAAAACCCACAAATTCGGACAAACTCCAAGCATTGATTATGCAAGAATGGGCTGCCATCAGTCAGGATGTGGCCCAGAAGTTAATTGACAGCATGCCAGGGCGGATTGCAGAGGTCTTTTATACTTCAGTATACCATAGTAACATCTGACAAAAATATCTCATAACACTGAAGCAACGAACTTTGTGAAGACCAATACTTGTGTCATTCTCAAAACATTTGACCACGACTGTACATGTACTTCTTAACATCTTAAACATACATTTTGTCTCTAGCTGAGAGACTTGAAGACTTTTGAAAAACAGAGCTTTGGAAACATGGAGCCCATTCAAGTATTAGTTATTTTGGCTTTTATGTTTGCGTTAGCTCTGTTGGAAGTCTTACTGGGTGAGGCCAGGACTGACTGGGTAGCTTACCCAATTCATCGGCTAATCCCCTCTAACAGTGTTTCAGTTCAAGAGGAGAACATTTGCGAGAATGCTGAGCGTCTCTCCTCTATGACTTGTTCTCGATCACGGCGGGGGCGATCATCATGACGGTGGTCTTCAGGGGATAGTAGTGTCCATGCCAGGTCTTCCAGAAGACCCCTGCTTCCTCTGATGCCTCTGCTTGGGAGGAGGGCTCATGAAGTAGCGGCCATTCAGGTTGGAGTGTCCGCAGTTGCTGAACCACCAGCCACCTGGAGAAAGAGAGCAAACATCTGGTTAGATTGGCATTGGTGCTACATTCCGAATTTGAGTTATCGTGAGATAAATCTTATGCAGATGCTTGCGAAAGTATTCACCCCCCTTGGCCTTTTTCCTATTTTGTTGTCTTACAACCTGGAATTAAAATGGATATTTTGGGGGGTTGTATCATTTGATTTACACAACATGCCTACCACTTTGAAGATGCAACATCTTTTTTTTGTGAAACAAACAAGAAATAAGACAAAAAAATAGAAAACTTGAGCGTGCATAACTATTCACCCCCCCAAAGTCAATACTTTGTAGAGCCACCTTTTGCAGCAGTTACAGCTGCAAGTTTCTTGGGGTATGTCTCTATAAGCTTGGCACATCTAGCCACTGGGATTTTTGTCCATTCTTCAAGGCAAAACTTCTCCAGCTCCTTCAAGTTGGATGAGTTCCGCTGGTGTACAGCAATCTTTAAGTCATACCACAGATTCTCAATTGGATTGAGGTCTGGGCTTTGACTAGGCCATTCCAAGACATTTAAATGTTTCCCCTTAAACCACTTGAGTGTTGCTTTAGCAGTATGCTTAGGGTCGTCCTGCTGGAAGGTGAACCTCTTTCCCAGTCTCAAATCTCTGGAAGACTGAAACAGGTTTCCCTCAAGAATTTCCCTGTATTTAGCGCCATCCATCATTCCTTCAATTCTGACCAGTTTCCCAGTCCCTGCCGATGACAAACATCCACACAGCATGATGCTGCCACCACCATGCTTCACTGTGGGGATGGTGTTCTTGGGGTGATGAGAGGTGTTGAGTTTGCACCAGACATAGCGTTTTCCTTGATGGTCAAAAAGCTACATTTTTGTCTCATCTGACCAGAGTACCTTCTTCCATATGTTTGGGGAGTCTCCCACATGCCTTTTGGCAAACACCAAACGTGTTTGCTCATTTATTTCTTTAAGCAATGGCTTTTTTCTGGCCACTCTTCCGTAAAGCCCAGCTCTGTGGAGTGTACGGCTTAAAGTGGTCCTATGGACAGATACTCCAATCTCCGATGTGGAGCTTTGCAGCTCCTTCAGGGTTATCTTTGGTCTCCTTGTTGCCTCTCTGATTAATGCCCTCCTTGCCTGGTCCGTGAGTTTTGGTGGGCGGCCCTCTCTTGGCATGTTTGTTGTGGTGCCATATTCTTTCCCTTTTTTAATAATGGATTTAATGGTGCTCCGTGAGATGTTCAAAGTTTCTGATATTTTTTTATAACCCAACTCTGATCTGTACTTCTCCACAACTTTGTCCCTGACCTGTTTGGAGAGCTCCTTGGTCTTCATGGTGCCGCTTGCTTGGTGGTGCCCCTTGCTTAGTGGTGTTGCAGACTCTGGGGCCTTTCAGAACAGGTGTATATACAGTGGGGAAAAAAAGTATTTAGTCAGCCACCAATTGTGCAAGTTCTCCCACTTAAAAAGATGAGAGAGGCCTGTAATTTTCATCATAGGTACACGTCAACTATGACAGACAAAATGAGATTTTTTTTCTCCAGAAAATCACATTGTAGAATTTTTAATGAATTTATTTGCAAATTATGGTGGAAAATAAGTATTTGGTCAATAACAAAAGTTTCTCAATACTTTGTTATATACCCTTTGTTGGCAATGACACAGGTCAAACGTTTTCTGTAAGTCTTCACAAGGTTTTCACACACTGTTGCTGGTATTTTGGCCCATTCCTCCTTGCAGATCTCCTCTAGAGCAGTGGTGTTTTGGGGCTGTCGCTGGGCAACACGGACTTTCAACTCCCTCCAAAGATTTTCTATGGGGTTGAGATCTGGAGACTGGCTAGGCCACTCCAGGACCTTGAAATGCTTCTTACGAAGCCACTCCTTCGTTGCCCGGGCGGTGTGTTTGGGATCATTGTCATGCTGAAAGACCCAGCCACGTTTCATCTTCAATGCCCTTGCTGATGGAAGAAGGTTTTCACTCAAAATCTCACGATACATGGCCCCATTAATTCTTTCCTTTACACGGATCAGTCGTCCTGGTCCCTTTGCAGAAAAACAGTCCCCAAAGCATGATGTTTCCACCCCCATGCTTCACAGTAGGTATGGTGTTCTTTGGATGCAACTCAGCATTCTTTGTCCTCCAAACACGACGAGTTGAGTTTTTACCAAAAAGTTCTATTTTGGTTTCATCTGACATTCTCCCAATCCTCTTCTGGATCATCCAAATGCACTCTAGCAAATTTCAGACGGGCCTGGACATGTACTGGCTTAAGCAGGGGGACACGTCTTGCACTGCAGGATTTGAGTCCCTGGCGGCGTAGTGTGTTACTGATGGTAGGCTTTGTTACTTTGGTCCCAGCTCTCTGCAGGTCATTCACTAGGTCCCCCCGTGTGGTTCTGGGATTTTTGCTCACCGTTCTTGTGATCATTTTGACCCCACGGGGTGAGATCTTGCGTGGAGCCCCAGATCGAGGGAGATTATCAGTGGTCTTGTATGTCTTCCATTTCCTAATAATTGCTCCCACAGTTGATTTCTTCAAACCAAGCTGCTTACCCATTGCAGATTCAGTCTTCCCAGCCTGGTGCAGGTCTACAATTTTGTTTCTGGTGTCCTTTGACAGCTCTTTGGTCTTGGCCATAGTGGAGTTTGGAGTGTGACTGTTTGAGGTTGTGGACAGGTGTCTTTTATACTGATAACAAGTTCAAACAGGTGCCATTAATACAGGTAACGAGTGGAGGACAGAGGAGCCTCTTAAAGAAGAAGTTACAGGTCTGTGAGAGCCAGAAATCTTGCTTGTTTGTAAGTGACCAAATACTTATTTTCCACCATAATTTGCAAATAAATTCATAAAAAATCCTACAATGTGATTTTCTGGATTTTCTTTCCTCAATTTGTCTGTCATAGTTGACGTGTACCTATGATGAAAATTACAGGCCTCTCTCTTAAATCTTTTTAAGTGGGAGAACATGCACAATTGGTGGCTGACTAAATACTTTTTTCCCCCACTGTATACTGAGATCTTCTGGTCATTGTCTTGGTCGCGGATGGAGAAGGGCAGGCCAGAGGCCTCGGTTGCCAGGGCACACGTACAGGTTGTCATTGGAGGTCTTCTGGATGTGGAGCGTGTAGGGGCTCTCCTCCCCGCCTAGACAGATGGGGTACTGTATGGTCTCAGAATCACCCCTCCAGTCGGAGAACTTGATGTTAAGGATGTATTCTGCGTCTTTGGCCACAGCGTGCATCTTCTCAAGACCAAGCCGGAACTCACCTAGAGAGAGAGCGGGATCAAAACAAAAACACAACACGGTTCACAAACTCTTTGTCCAGACTTTGTACCTCAGACAGTCAGTATCAGGACACGTTATCAAGGTCTGTGTTCTAACAGTGCTTTTGTCTTTCCCCTACACTTGCACAAAACTCCTATTTATAAATGACTCTAGTTTCTTATCTCGTTGCGGCTTGAACTTCAGACTGTTATGTCGGTAGGCCAGCAGCCAACATGGAGCTTGTTTGTGAGCTATGGTGCAAAAGTCCACTCTGCCTCTCTGCCAACTCCACTTGTTTTCTACTGAGGGAATTCACACTTGTGCGTATGGAAGTGGGGGTTGGGTGGGTCCAAGCAGAAGTAGTCAAATATTCCTGTTTTTAACATTTTATTTTGTAAAGACATTATTGCATAACATGTCTATCTTTCACTTCATATCTAGGTCAGATGTTCAGGAATCAGGATACATCTGGTTTCCCTATCTGGGATCCCTATCATTGGCTTCTTCATTGTAGCTCTCCAGGTCTGTGAATGCTGAATGTTTGCAAATAAAGGGGCCTTATCGTGAAATGGGTTTATCAGTAGTTGTAAACCTAAGAAAGATAAAGAGTAATGTGTTGTGCTCTAGTCTGAACAAAAGAGAGCTCCTTGCTTAGTAGTAAACATGACCTTTCTCCCAGTTCCCAAGCGGACTTCCCCCTCAGCTGCCTAGCCTATTGATTACATGTGCCTCTCCTCGCATTCCACTACCCCCTCCTCTCCTGCCTTCATGTTCCCCTCTCCTCCTCCTCCCCTCCTGTTTGACATACCTCCCACAAGTGCACAGCAGCCAGTCAGTGACGTAGGAATGCATGGCCACTGCATGCACAGGGAGTGCTATAGGGACAGCAGGCTCCTAGCACTCTCTGAGCATTCCCTGTGCATGCAGTGGCCATGCATTTCTACATCACTGACTAGAATGGGAGAGAGACAGCCAGGCAGCATCAACAAAAGGTCTGGGAGGCCCAGTGGCTGTCATGTGCCTGGTGAGGCATGAGTTGGTGCACACCCTTAATCTTTTCCAGAAAAGGGTTCAAGTTTATATGATGCCGACTTGATAGATACTGCATATGTTCATCGGCTATGATGCTCTTCATCTGCACCAATCGCCTAAACTATGATTAAATATTTTAATTGATTGGAGCCAATCAATCAATCAATATTGGTTTTGGTTTGATTGATATTGGTTTGACTTGGTTGCTATTTGTTTTCAAGTACAAACATGAGAGCAGACTCTATTGAATTCTATTAATTAGCGGTAGGTGTTTGTGGTCGCAGTTTCCCTCAATTTTGGCACACTTCTAATTCATCTACGGCCGGAGAGGCAGCGGTCTACAGGGATGGGGAGCGGGGAAGGAGGGATGGAGGAGGGGAGAAGAGGGACTTCCGACTATTCTGACAGATCTAGGGGAAAGTTTGTACATTCTTGAGGAATCCTTTACAAAAAAAATACACGTAAAATAGCTGTTTCCACATGTTGACCTTAAGTTTTACACATTAAATAATACATCACATGTATTACATTTCGAGTTCACATGTTAACACCATCTTTTCACATGAGGAGAATAATATGTTTTCATCTCACATGTGAATTGCAGCTTCACATGTAAAATTTGAGTTTTCACATGTTAAAAATGTTCACATGTGAAAATCGGATATGCAATTCCACATGTGAAAGTTTTTCACATATGAAATTGCAAATTAGATGTTTTTGCATGTGATTGTTTTTCACATGTGAACTTGTAATTCCACATGTGAAAAACTAATTTGCAGTTTCCCATGTAAGAATCTCAACATGTGAAATTGCAAATTCACATGTGGGGTTGAAATAATGTCATTTTCCTCACGTGAAAATATCTTGTTAACATGTTGCAGTAGCAATGTTTCCACCGGTGGAATTAGGTTGACCACAACACTTGAGTGTGCTGTTTCTGTCCAACTCTCTCGTTATCTCGCTCAGAACGATCTTCTTGACCCTAACCAGACAGGCTTCAAGACATCCCAACTCCGTTCCACTACCTCTGGTCTCTTGGCCCTCCAAATCCTGTGTGAGGGCAGCTCCCGCTCAGCCCAGTCAATGCTCTTCTCTGTCCTGGCACCCCAATGGTGGAACAAGTTTCCCCCTACCTCTTTGAAGAGTACACTACATGGTATGTACACATGGTAAGTACGTGGACACCCCTTCAAATTAGTGGATTTGGCTATTTCTGCCTCACCCGTTGCTGACAGGTGGATAAAATCAAGCACACAGCCATGTAACCTCAATAGACAAACATTTGCACTAGAATGGCCTTACTGAAGAGCTCAGTGACTTCAACGTGGCACCATCATAGGAAGCCACCTTTCCAACAAGCCAGTTCATCAAATTTCTGCCCTGCTAGAGCTGCCCCGGTCAACTGTAAGTGCTGTTATTGTGAAGTGGAAATGTCTAGGAGCAACAACGGCTTAGCTGCGAAGTGGTAGGCCACACAAGCTCACAGAATGGGACTGCCGAGTGCTGAAGCGCGAAACGCATACAAATTGTCTGTCCTCGGTTGCAACACTCACTACCGAACTGTTCGTCGGGACCTTCATGAAATGGGTTTCAATGTCCGAGCAGCGCACACAAGCCTAAGATCAATATGCGCAATGCCAAGCGTCGGCTGGAGTGGTGTAAAGCTCGCCGCCATTGGACTCTGGAGCAGTGGAAACTCGTTCTCTGGAGTGATGAATCACGCTTCACCATCTGGCAGTCCCACGGATTCATCTGGGTTTGGCGGATGCAAGGAGAACGCTACCTGCCCGAATCCATAGCGCCAACTGTAAAGTTTGGTGGAGGAGGAATAATGGTTCGGGCTAGGCCCCTTAGTTCCAGTGAAGGGAAATCTTAACGCTATAACATACAATGACATTCCTGTTTCAGCATGACAATGCCCCCGTGCACAAAGCGAAGTCCATGCAGAGCTCCTCTGTCCTGGCACCCCAATGGTGCAACCAGTTTCCCACTGAAGCTAGGACAGCAGAGTCCCTGCCCATCTTCCGAAAACATCTGAAACCCTACCTCTTCAAAGAGTATCTTAAAGGCAAATTCCACCCACTTTCAAAATACAGAAATACAGCCGGTATGATGCATCATATGATGCAAAATGCATAATACCAGCTGTGTTTCTGTATTTTCAAAGTTATATATCTTGAAAACTTGATTTCTGACATGCAAACGTTTGGGACTATATCAACAATGGACTAATGAAACAAATACCAAAAGATAGTTTTAGGGTGGCGTTTTCCTTTAAATAATCCCACATATTTAAGGGGTTAAATATGTGTAAAGAATAAAAAACGTAAAACATTTCCTGATCTTTCTTACATCTCCTAGTTATAGGGCAGACACTTCAAAACCTTGTTTGTTATGATTAATTTTTTGACAGTCTTTTTTTTCCATGAATGTGTTATTCAATGCGTTTCTCTGGGCTATACAGTGAGGGAAAAAAGTATTTGATCCCCTGCTGATTTTGTACGTTTGCCCACTGACAAAGAAATTATCAGTCTATAATTTTAATGGTAGGTTTATTTGAACAGTGAGAGACAGAATAACAACAAACAAATCCAGAAAAACGCATGTCAAAAATGGTATAAATTTATTTGCATTGTAATGAGGGAAATAAGTATTTCACCCCCTCTCAATCAGAAAGATTTCTGGCTCCCAGGTGTCTTTTATGCAGGTAACGAGCTGAGATTAGGAGCACACTCTGAAAGGGAGTGCTCCTAATCTCAGCTTGTTACCTGTATAAAAGACACCTGTCCACAGAAGCAATCACTCAATCAGATTCCAAACTCTCCACCATGGCCAAGACCAAAGAGCTCTCCAAGGATGTCAGGGACAAGATTGTAGACCTACACAAGGCTGGAATGGCTACAAGACCATCGCCAAGCCGCTTGGTGAGAAGGTGACAACAGTTTGTGCGATTATTCGCAAATGGAAGAAATACAAAAGAACTGTCAATCTCCCTTGGCCTGGGGCTCCATGCAAGATCTCACCTTGTGGAGTTGCAATGATCATGAGAACGGTGAGGAATCAGCCCAGAACTACACGGGAGGATCTTGTCAATGATCTCAAGGCAGCTGGGACCATAGTCACCAAGAAAACAATTGGTAACACACTACGCCGTAAAGGACTGAAATCCTGCAGCGCCCGCAAGGTCCCCCTGCTCAAGAAAGCACATATACATGCCCGTCTGAAGTTTGCCAATGAACATCTGAACGATTCAGAGGAGAACTGGGTGAAGGTGTTGTGGTCAGATGAGACCAAAATGGAGCTCTTTGGCATCAACTCAACTCGCTGTGTTTGGAGGAGGAGGAATGCTGCCAAGAACACCATCCCCACCGTCAAACATGGAGGTGGAAACATTATGCTTTGGGGGTGTTTTTCTGCTAAGGGGATGGGACAACTTCACCGCATCAAAGGGACGATGAATGGGGCCATTTACCATCAAATCTTGGGTGAGAACCTCCTTCCCTCAGCCAGGGCATTGAAAATGGGTCGTGGATGGGTATTCCAGCATGACAATGACCCAAAACACACGGCCAAGGCAACAAAGGAGTGGCTCAAGAAGAAGCACATTAAGGTCCTGGAGTGGCCTAGCCAGTCTCCAGACCTTAATCCCATAGAACATCTGTGGAGGTAGCTGAAGGTTCGATTTGCCAAACGTCAGCCTCGAAACCTTAATGACTTGGAGAGATGCAAAGAGGAGTGGGACAAAATCCCTCCTGAGATGTGTGTAAACCTGGTGGCCAACTACAAGAAACGTCTGACCTCTGTGATTGCCGACAAGGGTTTTGCCACCAAGTACTAAGTCATGTTTTGCAGAAGGGTCAAATACTTATTTTCCTCATTAAAATGCAAATCAATTTATAACATTTTTGACATGCGTTTTTCTGGATTTGTTTGTTGTTATTCTGTCTCTCACTGTTCAAATAAACCTACCATTAAAATTATAGACTGATCATTTCTTTGTCAGTGGGCAAACGTACAAAATCAGCAGGGGATCAAATACTTTTTCCCCTCACTGTAGTAGTAAAGGGCAAATTCAATATCTATCAAATAATTGTTTTATATATTTTTTGTTACCTAAAGGGGTCCTAAAATTTTAAATCTGATAGCTAAACGATCCGAAGTATGACCATATTAGACTTACAGGGGGTTAAAGAGGCAATATTTAGTTGCAACATCCATTTTTGGACTTATAAATTAATGATATCTACCCATTCATTCTTGAAGAATACAACGTATAAATTTAAACAACCACTGTATAGCCTAAAAACATGATGGTGGTCCTCTGTAGCTCAGCTGGTAGAGCACGGCGCTTGTAACGCCAAGGTAGTGGGTTCGATCCCCGGGACCACCCATACACAAAAAAAAATGTATGCACGCATGACTGTAAGTCGCTTTGGATAAAAGCGTCTGCTAAATGGCATATTATATTATTATGATTAAAACTATAATTTCTATATCATGGATGTTCAGTCCTAGCATCCATCGTTCTGTCTATGAATTTGAAAAATGTAACCTCTCTCAAATTCATAGAAAGAGCAATGGATGCAAGGACTGACCATCCATTATATCTAAATTATAGTTTTAACCCTGTTTTGAGGCTGTATAGTGTTTGTTTACATTTACTTTGTTTACAAACGTTGGAATAAAACAAGCTTATATTTTGGGTTCTGATGGGATACGACAGTTGAACTAAGTTCATAAAGCATATGTTTTATAAGTTATATTCTTCAAGAATCAAATGGGTACAAATCATTAATTTAAGTCCAAAAATGGACATACTGTAGCAACTGCTTACTGCCCCTTGAATAGAGTAATAGTGTTATTACAGTGGGGAAAAAAAGTATTTAGTCAGCCACCAATTGTGCAAGTTCTCCCACTTAAAAAGATGAGAGAGGCCTGTAATTTTCATCATAGGTACATATCAACTATGACAGACAAATTGAGGGAAAAAAATCCAGAAGATCACATTGTAGGATTTTTAATGAATTTATTTGCAAATTATGGTGGAAAATAAGTATTTGGTCACCTACAAACAAGCAAGATTTCTGGCTCTCACAGACCTGTAACTTCTTCTTTAAGAGGCTCCTCTGTCCTCCACTCGTTACCTGTATTAATGGTACCTGTTTGAACTTGTTATCAGTATAAAAGACACCTGTCCACAACCTCAAACAGTCACACTCCAAACTCCACTATGGCCAAGACCAAAGAGCTGTCAAAGGACACCAGAAACAAAATTGTAGACCTGCACCAGGCTGGGAAGACTGAATCTGCAATAGGTAAGCAGCTTGGTTTGAAGAAATCAACTGTGGGAGCAATTATTAGGAAATGGAAGACATACAAGACCACTGATAATCTCCCTCGAACTGGGGCTCCACGCAAGATCTCACCCCGTGGGGTCAAAATGATCACAAGAATGGTGAGCAAAAATCCCAGAACCACACGGGGGGACCTAGTGAATGACCTGCAGAGAGCTGGGACCAAAGTAACAAAGCCTACCATCAGTAAAACACTACGCTACCAGGGACTCAAATCCTGCAGTGCCAGACGTGTCCCCCTGCTTAAGCCAGTACATGTCCAGGCCCGTCTGAAATTTGCTAGAGTGCATTTGGATGATCCAGAAGAGGATTGGGTGAATGTCATATGGTCAGATGAAACCAAAATAGAACTTTTTGGTAAAAACTAAACTCGTCGTGTTTGGAGGACAAAGAATGCTGAGTTACATCCAAAGAACACCATACCTACTGTGAAGCATGGGGGTGGAAACATCATGCTTTGGGGCTGTTTTTCTGCAAATGGACCAGGACGACTGATCCGTGTATAGGAAAGAATGAATGGGGCCATGTATTGTGAGATTTTGAGTGAAAACCTCCTTCCATCAGCAAGGGCATTGAAGATGAAACGTGGCTGGGTCTTTCAGCATGACAATGATCCCAAACACACCGCCTGGGCAACGAAGGAGTGGCTTCGTAAGAAGCATTTCAAGGTCCTGGAGTGGCCTAGCCAGTCTCCAGATCTCAACCCCATAGAACATCTTTGGAGGGAGTTGAAAGTCTGTGTTGCCCAGCGACAGCCCCAAAACATCACTGCTCTAGAGGAGATCTGCATGGAGGAATGGGCCAAAATACCAGCAACAGTGTGTGAAAACCTTGTGAAGACTTACAGAAAACGTTTGACCTGTGTCATTGCCAACAAAGGGTATATAACAAAGTATTGAGAAACTTTTGTTATTGACCAAATACTTATTTTCCACCATAAATTGCAAATAAATTCATAAAAAATCCTATAATGTGATTTTCTGGGAAAAAAATTCTCAATTTGTCTGTCATAGTTGACGTGTACCTATGATGAAAATTACAGGCCTCTCTCATCTTTTTAAGTGGGAGAACTTGCATAATTGGTGGCTGACTAAATACTTTTTTCCCCCACTGTATATGGTGCAATCCTTTAGTGAGTGAGTTACTTTTGTTTCATTAATATCAAGCAAAACTTCTACAGTCGAGAACAAAATTCGTATTGCAAACAAAAATAATGATATTAATAGCAAAACACAAACTCAAAAGTAACATAATAATATTGCAAGGTCGGTCCCATGATGGGAGACTAGATGTAGCTGGAAGTGGTGAAAGACAAACATGTGAAAAGAAATGTCACGTGGGGATTTCTGTTTTCACGAGGGAAAACCACTACATGTGAAACTTCACACGTCCGTAAAAAAAAAGATGTATATATTTCACGTGTCCGACAACCACGTGATTTCTTCATGTGGTCTTTTTGTAAGGGATATGACACTCAATTCGGGTCATTGGCTCACTTCTGGATTGTATTTCCAGCTGAATCAGTGTGTTTGATCAGAGATCTGACAGAGAAAGTATTTTTCTTTAAATCATTTTCATTGGCTGGTTCATGCCAAAGATCAGTTTATTTTCTCTTTAAAAAACAACAGCAATTTTACACAACTGGAAAACATGAAATAGACAATATAAATTACAAACAGGCGATAGCAGAAATATATAAAGATTCTTTACAACTTATAAATAAAAGGCAAAAAAACTCAAGTCATCGACAAAAACACTAGAGAATTTTACAACAAGTTACAGTAAAGGTTCTGAAGAGACAGTCGACATTCATTCATCATACACTATATACAGAAATAGATGACTCTGGTCATTTTAAGGACAGTCAATGTGACTGAAGGATACAAAATCTCCACGAGAACACAACAGTGGAGCGTGAGCTTACTTTGATTCAAAATAAAACTGCAGGAAAAGTAGTGTTACATTGTACAAAGGCTGGAATGGTGTTTGCTCCATAGAGGAACTTTAAATTTAGACAATGAAACCACCATTGCTGAAAATACTTCACACACATTCTGTCTCATTACGTCCTGTAATTCTGTAATTCTAGTTTACAGTGATTATTTCTTTACATAATGCCTTTGGATAGCTAATGGCATTACTTTCATGTGGAAAAACAACTAATTGTTTCAGTCACCATTTGGTCCATACAATCGGATTAAGAAACTCTCTAGAGTTGCCCCGCTTGTACAACTACAGTGGAGGGCAGTGTTCATGCTGACAAAACTGTGTTCTAGCTAGAAATCACAGTTGAACCTCTGGGAGAGCTCTTGCATTCAGAAACCTCTGTCAGATGGGTCTTAACGTGGAAAATGCTTGGTTTCTTGAACACAAAACACATGTTGGAACTCGCCTCAATCTGTTCCATTCATTGATGCAGTCAGAGACCCAGCGTTGCTTTTAAACAGTGATTAAGAGTGAGCTCATACCACAGCTGTGGTGAAACACCCTTGCTAACTTTCCACTGCTAGATTCACATATACATGTACTTCTTCACATCTTAAACATACATTTCTGCATTGTTCGGTTGTGTCTCTAGCTGAGAGACTTGAAGACTTTTGAAAAACTGAGCTTTGGAAACATGGAGCCCATTCAAGTATGAGTTATTTTGGCTTTTATGATGGCCTTAGCTCTATTGGAAGTCTCACTGGGTGAGTCCAGGACTGACTGGGTAGCTTACCCAACTCATCGGCCAACCGCCTCTAACAGTGTTTTAGTTCAAGAGGAGAAAAGTCTGGAGAATGCTGAGCGTCTCTCCTCTATGACTTGTTCTCGATCACGGCGGGGGCGATCATCATGACGGTGGTCTTCAGGGGATAGTAGTGTCCATGCCAGGTCTTCCAGAAGACCCCCTGCTTCCTCTGATGCCTCTGCTTGGGAGGAGGGCTCATGAAGTAGCGGCCGTTCAGGTTGGAACGTCCGCAGTTGCTGAACCACCAGCCACCTGGAGAAAGAGAGCAAACATCTGGTTAGATTGGCATTGGTGCTACATTCCGAATTTGAGTTATTGAGAGATAAACCTTAGACTAAATAAATCTTAGATGGAATTCAGCCAAATAATAACTTTGAACTTTGAAAAAGAGGAGACGTACCAGAGAGGTGTTTGGCGCAGTTGGTGTCGTTCTTCTGGTCATTGTCTTGGTCGGGGGTGGAGAAGGGCAGGCCGGAGGCCTTGGTGGCCAGGGCGCTCTCCAGGTTGCCGTTGGAGGTCTTCTGGATGTGGAGGGCGTAATGGCTCTCCTCCCCGCCCAGACGGATGGGGTACTGGATAGTCTCAGAATCGTCCCTCCAGTCGGAGAACTTGACCTTGAGGATGTAGTCTGTGTCTTTGGTCACAGCGTGCATCTTCTCAAGACCAAGCCAGAACTCACCTAGAGAGAGAGAGATCAAACAGGGGTTAAAACCTGATCAGTGGCTGTGGTAGCATGTTCAAAGTCTGCATACATGTGTCCAGATATCTCAGTGTCTTTGTTAATTTAAAGGATCTGATCGTAACAGGGCTGGTAATCACTTAATTGAATTTAACAGGAATAGAACATGCGATTTGGTCACTTCTGGCACCTAAAGACACCAGTGACATTAAAGCTGGAGATTAGATGGTTGTTAATGCCAAACCTGCCATATCAAGATCTACCTGATCCCTCGATCTTGACATCTACAATCCTGTATTAGTGTTAGTATCACTGCTTGTTAATCAAACTGAACTGGGAGGTTTCGGGTCAAGTGCTCTGCGCTGTACTGCTCTATGATGTGGCTGTGGGTGGTACTGTCCGAACCTCGGTGTGACCTCGCTAGCTAGCTCCAGAGGAATTTTAGTGAGGGAGATGAGAAAAGACAACAGAGGATATATTTACCATTCAGACTGCCAAAGCCGCTCTGGTAGGCCTGCCATAGCTGGTCAAAGTCAACTGAGCCATCCTGGCGCCTCTGGATCACGGTCCAGCCACCTTCTGTAGAGAGGAAAGAGGAAGAGCAGTGGGATTAGTCTTGACCATAAGCGATTTACTACAGCCAACTGTCGTACATGTACGGATACAATGTGTTCATAAACTAAGCTATAGGGTAACCTTATACGGTGACCTGACCCTATAGAGGCTTTTGAGCTATTCTTTTGCCTGAAGTTAGCAATTAGTTGTCGGACTAGTTAAAGATGCAGTCCGGGATCTTAACAACAAATTCGTAAAATATTATACGAATTGTGACGTAGTGCACAATTGGATGACGTGGTACACAAAAAACTGGGATACGTTTTGGTTCGTGAGCACCACTATAAAAAATACTGGCTGAAATTATACAGAAGTTCTGGAGCGTCACTTTAACAATTGTTAGCTAAGCCCTGTGAATAGAACAGAACACAAGGGCATAATCCTGGCTAACTCCACATACCGGCTGTCATTTCGCAAAAGACTTCAAAGGATTGGGAGTTTAATGGCTGAATGTTGTACACTCCGCTGGCCGTCTCGCCTCTCAGGAACAGCTCATGGCAGTCTGAGGCCATCTCTGAAAGAACAAAGACAAAAACACAACACGGTTCACAAACATTTTGCCCACACTTCGTATCTCAGTATCAGTACACGTCGTCAAGGTCTGTGTTCTAACAGTGCTTTGGCCTTTCCCCTTCACTGGCACAAATATCCTATTTATAAATGACTCATTCAACTAGAAAACAAAAACCCTGGTTTCTTATCTCAAGCGCCTTGAACTTCAGACAGTTATGTCAGACAGCAGCCAACATGGAGCTTGTTTGTGAGCTATGGGGCAAAAGTCCACTCTGCCTTTCTACCAACTCCACTTGTTTTCTACTGAGGGAATTCACACTTGTGTGTAAGGAAGTGGGGGTTGGGTGGGTCCAAGCAGAAGTAATCAAATATTACTGTTTTTAACATTTTATTTTGTAGAGACATTATTGCATAACATGTTTACCTTTCACTTCATATCTAGGTCAGATGTTCAGGAATCAGGATACATCTGGTTTCCCTATCTGGGATCCCTATCATTGGCTTCTTCATTGTAGCTCTCCAGGTCTGTGAATGCTGAATGTTTGCAAATAAAGGGGTCTTATCGTGAAGTGGGTTTATCAGTAGTTGTAAACCTAAGAAAGACAAAGAGTTAATGTGTTGTGCTCTAGTCTGAACAAAAGAGAGCTCCTTGCTTAATACCGATTGGCTGCTGTGACGTGAATGGGAGAGGCAGCATCAACAAAAGGTCTGGGAGGCCCAGTGGCTGTCATGTGCCTGGTGAGGCATGAGTTGGTGCACACCCTTAATCTTTTCCAGAAAAGGGTTCAAGTTTATATGATGCCAACTTGATAGATACTGCATATGTTCATCGGCTATGATGCTCTTCATCTGCACCAATCGCCTAAACTATGATTAAATCTTTTTATTGAATTGGGGCCAATCAATCAATCAATATTGGTTTTGGTTTGATTGATATTGGTTTGACTTGGTTGCTATTGATTTTACAAGTACAAACATAAGAGCAGACTACGGGGCCACAATGCATCACTCTTCTGGAATAACCCTTTCGGGGCGAAGCATGAACTCTATTGATTAGCGGTGCGTGGTTGTGGTCACGGTTTGCCTTGGAGTCAGGGGTTCCCCTCAACTTTGGCACACTTCTAATTCATCTACGGCCGGAGAGGCAGCGGTCTACAGGGATGGGGAGTGGGGAAGGATGGATGGAGGAGGGGAGAAGAGGGACTTCTGACTACTCTGACAGATCTGGGGGAAAGGTTGCACATTCTTGAGGGATGTACCACTGTTTTATGGTGAGGAGAAAAAAATGGGACGGCTGGAAGGAGGGAGCAATGAGGTAGGCAGTCAGTGCCTTCAAAACAACAAAGGATGTGTGTACAAAGTTCACCAGACTAAATTAGACAGACTCCTTTTGCTTTCTTTCATGACTTTTTCTGTCTCTGGGCCAAATGACCTAATCTGAGGAACAGACACTCTTAATAAAAAGGGTTCCAAAAGGGTTCTTCGGCTGTCCCCATAGGAGAACCCCTTTTTTGTTCCAGGTATAACTATTTTGGGTTCTATGTAGAACCCTCTGTGTAAAGGGTTCTACATGGAACTCAAAAGGGTTCTACCTGAAACCAAAAAAGTTCTCCCTGGAACCAAAAAGGGTTATTCAGAGGGTTCTCCTATGGGGACAGCCGAAGAACCCTTTTAGGTTCTAGATAGCACCTTTCTTTCTAAGAGTGTCGCATACTAGATTTGCAAAGTCTCCCTCCTCCGCCCCAAGCTCCGTCTGATCTGTGAGTTATCCCTCTGTGCTGGGGCTGTGATCCTGAGTTAACACTGTCCGAGACTGCTGAACTCTCCCCCAGTTGGAGTCCAGCCAGAGGACTTGTTTCTTTTATAGAATTCCTGAAATCCTGCTGATGTCAGAATTTGCCATGAGACGACTCATTGTGTTCTGCTGGATGACTGCATCTCACAGTTCTGGGCCTGTGGGTTCACCTTTCACCTACTTCCCTCAGTGGCTATCAGACAGTGGGAAATGGTGTAAAACCCACTATTTTGATAGAACCACGAGTGCTTTTGATTGAGAGGCAATATACTGAAATGGTATGTATAACAATGTTACTTTCTTTTTCAATCAACTCTGAGTAGGTCAATCACATATCTGACCAACATCCATAAAGTGACATGGTTTTCATCGGTCACATTCAGAGTGAAATCATGACTCAAATATCCTGTATAGGCCTATTGATTCATTCATATCCCTCAATGCTGACTTTTTAGTGAGACCAGACCCCCGCTAAAGCACTAAACAGGAACTTGCCATGAGTCAATCATTGTTCCATTGCCAGAAACCCTGGAACTAGTGTCTGAACTTGGCCATGATCAAGCTCCATACAGCTCTGATGAAAGCCCACATTATGAGTTGGCCACTGTAGTACAGTTCAGATGTTAATAGCTGCTTGGCTTGGGTGTAGTTCGAGGACATCATGATCACTTTTACAATTACTGTACTACTGTATTAAGTAAGACAGGGTGTAACCTAACTCAATGTACTACTGTGATCTTTTTCTTTATACTGTGAATATATTATATTTTCTGGGAACCCAATGAAAGCATTCCTTCATACAAGTAATGTACATTGTCAGTCGTTGGTAGGTGCATTAATTGGCATGGCCAATCACCTGTGCATAATTTTTCGCGCGGTTAGGGAAGATAGATGCGCGCTCACAATTATCTGATAATTACTGTCAACCCTTCACATCATTTAGAAACCACTCCAGTTAAACTTGATATCTTAAGTATCTTATTGTCACAAAGCAGATGGCTTGGGAGGACAGTATTTGTCTGGGCATCAATTTAAACAACGGATTTGACACGAAGCTTAGCTTTACTTAACTCTGTGTTGTTGTTTTTATCGCACTGCTTTGCTTTATCTTGGCCAGGTCGCAGTTGTAAATGAGAACTTGTTCTCAACTGGCCTACCTGGTTAAATAAAGGTTAAATAAATAAAAAATAAAAAACTTACCGATGGGTGAGTCGCGCTGCTCAATGCTGCCATTTTGAACGGCCTCTTCTGGTTTACGCCTGAATGCTGGTCTCTCTTTTTTCAGCTGAATCTGAGTGAGCAAGGAAAACGAAGTTTTAAATAAGTCATAATAAATAATTGCCTCAATGAAATGTTAAAATAATCATACATGGGTCAGTGATATTCACAAAATGTTTCATACCTGGTGTTGCAGGGTCCTGATGCGCACGTTCTGCTTTTCAAGTTTATCTTGCTGGAGTTGGATTCTGTTGACCAGGTCATCAATACGTTTATTCTGAGCTTCCAACATCCACTGAAAGAAAACAGACAGGTACCCTGTTAGTCTTTCTCATGTGACCTAATTGTAATTAGCCTAGGTTTCTTATAACATAGGAATAGCCCACCACAAAGCCGATATTGTGAACTGTGTTTTGACTTTGTTTTTAGACCATAACATATAGCCTACTATGTGCTTGTAATTTGAATGGGGCCGAATTTCACATAGCCTATCCGAGCACATTCAACAGCTTTTGTCTTTTCCAACCCGGTGGTTTGGTTACATAATAACGCGGGGTTTTCCATCCCACAAAAAAAAGTTCATGTCAGAACAAGAAATTATCTTTTTAGATTTCAGGTGCTATAGCCGCTACACACCATCTTTAAATCAAGTGTTCCATTTTCCTCACCTGGACCATGTTCCAAATATGGTAAAACAATTATTCACACGTTCTGAAACGAATGCGTGCAGTTCCTTTGTCTGGCCAACGTTTAGCACGTAGTCCACGCACTCCAGCACAATGCACGCTAGTTAACACACCCACTGGCGTGCCTTCAGACAGTGCTTCAGGCTGAATATCGTTCAGTCCCCTTGAGTCAATGGACATAATCCCAGACCAACTGTTCTTGTCCATCAAAGGGCATCTATTGTGCCCCTCCAGTTGTTCCTCTGAACATTAGCAAATAGGCCATTTGCCAAACTATTATGCATGACTAATGTAGGAGAAAGTATAATACCAATAGCCTACTGTATTAAGCACTACTTAATGTTAATCTATTAATCTATTTGCTGTGGTGTTTTGTCATGTTATCACAGTAAATGAATATGACAGGCTGCTCACTGCAAAAAGCATTGCATGGTAATGCCTTCATACAACTGAAGCAATCAGAATTCAAGCAATCAGAAATTGATGGATACAATGGCAACTGCAGAGAAGTAAGCTCACGAAGGGGTAGACATGCAGCAGTTCGCTTACAGTCTGTCTTGTCAGTAATCACTTTTTTATCTCAAGTCATTTGCTTCCCTTCCTTCACGCCAAATGCACAATTGTATCCTAGCTTTTTTTCCAAACACAAAGAATCACCAAATAGAGTCATGGATTCCCTCCTTACCTGAATGATGCTTGCGTGGCTGTAGTTGCCTGCGTTGCCCGTGTCCATGTCGGGCAGCCCCTCGCCCTGCAGCATGCCGTCCATCTTCTCCTCCAGCTTGTTTATCCTCTCATCCACCCTCTTCCTCTCCTGCTGCATCTCCTCTGTCTTCTCCCTCAGCTCAGCAGTCTCGTTGAGCACCTGGACCTCCCTGTCCTCCAGCCCCCTGGCCCTGGCCTTCAACGCCTCGCCCTCCGCCTGCAGCCTCTGGCTCTCCTTGCCCAGGTCTGCCGCGGTGCCGTTGAAGACCTTCAGCTTGGCAGTGATGTCTCTCATCTGGCCCTTGGTTTTGTCCACATGCTCCTTGAGGCCCTGACCCAGCTGGAGCAGGCCGTGGGCGATCACGTTCACGTCGTCCCACGCCGCATACTGCATCCTCTTCTCCTTCCTGCCCGTGGCCGAGCCTCCTCTCCTCTCGAAGGGGTTGCCGGTGGCCATCAGAATGACCAGGCATAGAGTCACGGTTGCTAGTGTTCTCTTCATTGTTGCCTGCTTTCCTTTGTTTGTTCGTTGGCTCGGGTTCTTTGGTAGTTTTTTCAGTCAGGTGGTTTGCAGAAGCACCCTTCTCTTCCCAGTTCGTTACTTGAGCTCAAGCTCCTACCGCTCTGTGCAGAGCACTTTGGTTTTATACTTTCAGAGCCCTTCAACTCCAGCCGGCTGGCTGATCTGATTGGCTGGCCGAGCAGAGGGGGGAGAGCTGCTCTCAGGTTTCTCCCCCGCTCAGTTAACTCTTTATGTCAAGCGGAGGCGTGAGAGGGGAGCACATGATGTAACAATGAAGCCAGTTTTCATCACTACCTGTAGAATACAGTAATCAAAGAGATTTCAGTCAAATTATTACACATTGACATGCACAGCCGTACAATAAAAGACAGCTTTATGTGCAAATACATCTAGCTACTGTCACTATAATGTTTCTACTATCACTATACCGTTGCTATCATTCAGTACCCAGAAAAGGGGTTCAGACATGTCAGTGCACTTACATTGACAATCACACAGCTGTACGGTAAAGGATAGATTAACTCACTGTGTGTGATAAACATAATGATGTAACAAAGAAATGGTTGATATCACTTCAAACAAGATAGGAAAGCCTATGCCGAGTGATACTTACATCCGTAACTTTGTTGTTGATAATGTTATGGTGTGATAATGTTATGATAATATTTTGGTGTGATAATGTTATGGTGTGATAATGTTATAATAATGTTATGGTGTGATAATGTTATGGTGTGACTTGAACATAATAACAATGACACAAGTTACCATTACTTCCCATAAAGGGGTTAGGTAGTTATTACAGGTAAAACTAAGTGTATGTTATTTTCCATAATGCTTAAAAATGTATCTGATTATTTATGCATATGTACATTGGATGGTGCCCACATTGATCGTGTCCCCACATATACATATTTGGGCATCTGGATTGACGAAAAGCTATGATTTAACAACAAAAACAAACTTAAGGTAAAAAAGCAAATACAGTGTCTATTGATGAGTTAGTTAAGAAGTTAAGAATAAAAATGGGCTTCCTTTAGAGGAATAGGGCATGCCTTTCATTAAATATTAGAAAACAAATCATTCAGTCGACATTCATGCTCGTTATAGCAATATCGTCTATATCCCTCATACTCAACTCTGGACCTCGAAGCCAGTTCCACACCATTTTTTCATTGTTCCCTCTAATCAGGGACTGATTTAGACCTGGGACACCAGGTGTACAAATAATGATCAGGTAGAACAGAAAACCAGCAGGCTCTAGACCTCATAGGGTAAGAGTTGAATACCCCTGGTCTATATGAATGCAGCTGCCACTGTACTGAAGCCAGTGGACACAGTTTATAATAGCGCACAGTACACATCAATGCTTTCTGTATCATAAAGTAAGCTGTCCCTATTTGAAGTCTCGTAGATCGATGAATTGCACTATTTTTTTAAATAAAGCCCTCTTACACAAACTTCCGCCGTACCTCACTTCATTGTTAACCTACAGAGCTATCAGACCCGGTCTCAGGGATGGCTAACTCAGGAGATCCCCTCCATCTCCACTGAGTTAGGTAAATCTGCTTTTAGTTTTTTAGCACCTTGTGGAATAATCTAAAATTTGATGATGTTGCCTCGAGAGCAATTCATATTGAGGACCTTTTTACTGAAGAATGTGTTTTTTTCTATGATTGTGTTTTATGTATCTATTTTTTTGCTTTTCGTAGTGCATTGATGTGTATATTTTTGTTAATCTTTTTTTAACTACAGCGCTCTTATGTAAAAGAGACCTTGGTCTCAGCATGACTCCCTGTCAAAATAGAAGTTTAACAAAAAATTTAATGAACAAGATAAATGTTTTTTGATAAATCAGTGGGCCGCAGTCATTTACCCAAGGCTTTAATAGCTCAAAATATTACATTGCATATGAATGTGCTTAGCTAATTTGACAAAATGTGTCCAGTGTGTGAATAAAGATTCTGTCTTGCGTCCTCCATAAAGAAAAATAACTGATTGTACTTAGTTTAATGAAGGACAGTCAGGTCCATAATTATTGGCACCCTTGATAACGATTAGCAAAAAATGTATAATACAAATACTGAGCTATATTGTATGCTAAAAAAAACGTGGCTCCAAACCAAGTGCCAATGCCGTTTATCAAACTCCTGCCGGTGCTATGGTTAGATTACATGAAAATAGATCTCTTTGGCCACACCAGTGGTGGGTTTGGCATTAAAAAACAGAAGCATATGCAGAGAAGTACCTCATACCTACAGTACAATATGGTGATGGATCTTTGATGTTATGGGGCTATTTTGTTTCCACTGGTCCTGGGGGCCTTGTTAAGGTTTTGCCAATAATTATGTACCTGACTGTACTTCTTAATAAACTCATTATCATTGCATGTGTAGATTTGTAGATTTGAGTGCTTATTAGAAAACACATCCATCAAAGTACAGAGAAAACACTATCGGATAAAAATATATTTGAGCCAGCCTAATTGTATGGCTGGGATAAAGTGAAGCCGGTTGTGTGAAGTCATTGGCACTGTGTTGGACGTCAGGAGGAACGTGCTGTATGATTTGGCCTGAGGTTCTCCTCTGTTAAGTCTTGCTGTGAGGTAGGAGCTGTGTGAGAATTAGGGGAAAGTTCACACACAGAAAATGCCCACCTTAAGGCAATTCCCAACATTCAGATGTAACACCCGTGCCGGGGAGCACGGAGAGCACGGGGAGCACGTAGGCGATTCATGACCTGGGGCCAGACCACAAAGAAAATAAGTTAACCCTCTCTTGTCTGCGCCAGAGGCTAAGTAGGTGAAAGGTAACCGGGAGACTTCCTACTGTGCTTGGCAGGGAAAATCACTGCAGCTGAACCATGAATCATTACTAACGTTGCTGAAATGTAACAAACATCCATTAGTTTGATTAAGGCTCAGGGAGTTTATGAAGACAGTCAAAGAACAATCTCTTTCAGCTAAAAAATAGGCTTTTGTTGCCCAATCTTAGGAAGGATGTAGATTTACTCAAAATAACATTTTAAAAACAATTTGCTTTTGTACGATTTGCCTACGCCAAATGAGTTATCAAATAAGATGTATTTATTAAGGTCAGAGTAACTGACAGAGACTAGTTGAAATGGAAACAGATGTGTTGCTGAAGGCTTTTGAAGAGCCGGAAAAGCGGACAACTATTTGTCTGTGGCAGGAACATGCAAGAACATTGTAGCCTAACCACAAACGTGCAGTCATACTGTATCTCAAGACTAGTAATATTGAATAATGTTAACACAAATTGAACTAAAATACTAACTGGTTACTAATTTTAAAATGGAAGGAATGTGCGTGTGCTTCTGGGACATTACCGATGGAGTGAGGAGGAAAGGGGTCCTGGGGATTTGGGGGTGTAAAGGACAGAGCGCTGCTTTTGGGGACTGGAAGGGTCCCCAAGCCTTCCACTCCCTTCCTGCTGGATCACGCACCCTGCGCCATGACTGGGCCTGCTAACATCTGAAACACGGCAGGTTTTCTGGAAGCCAGAGGGGAGAGGAAGTTGCCCACTACTTACTGTTTGACCATGTGGTTCTGCAATGCAAAAGGTTATTTAGAAATTAAGCAGGTGTTTCACTGAATGTGACTGATGGACTGTGTCACGAATCACAGAATGTTCTAACCACAGAAGGGTCATTCATTCAGTGTTAAATGTTGGCTTTAAATATGTTTTACAGATGTTTTCCCCTGTTATTATATTGCCTATATTTAGTTAGTTTCTTATATTGGGTCCAATATATTTTTGGCAGTGATTGCGAGAGGAATGACAAATGACAGCTGCAATAAGTCAACCTTTCCTGTCTTGGAAACGACAGTTTGTTCCTACAGTTTAATTACCATTCCACAATGAAACATGTACTTTGAATTAATACCTCAAGCCCTGTTTTTATCATAAGTGACTGTCAGAATGTAATGTTTAAGTTGTTTCCAGGAAGAATCACCTTACTCTTTAACATTGTTGTCCCTAACCAAACAAGATTCTATTGATTTCAGTATTATTTACATTATGGAAGAGAACCAGCATACAAAATATAAACCAAGGAAGGAAGGACTCAATAGTCTACGTCAATAGTTATAATCAGGACATTCCTAGGAGACAGACTAAACAGGGGTTTTAACTATGCAAAGTCAATGATGCTGGAGGCTACGGGAATCTGGCGCCTTCCAACCGTCTGTGACTGATCATCACCGGAACCACACCTACAGCTGCTTATTCAATTCCAAAATGGCCGCTCCCTCAGCATGATGACCTTTTACCTAGATTCTAAATGCAGAACATCTGTATGGCCCACTGAAGCCCCACAGTCATTCACATATACCACATGCTCAAAATGAATGTTGAAATGGTGGACCCCAGTTTCCATGGATATGAGATTGTCTTTATTTGTTTAATCTTTATTTCTCAATGTTTACACAAATATGTATTTTTTTAACCTTACAACTGGACAAAATGTTCAAAAATAACATCTTAAATTAGAATTGAGTAACTAAATTAATTAATTGATATTCAATGGATGGATTCATCCTCCTAATTGTCTGTCAGATGACTAATGCTGTATTGTCAGGAAGTGTCCTGCCTAGGTACAGTGCATTGGGAACGTATTCAGACGCCTTGACTTTTTCCACATTTTGTTACGTTACAGCCTTATTCTAAAATTTATTAAATCATTTTTGTCCCTCAATCTACACACAATACCCCATAATGACAAACCAAAAAAACAGGTTTAAAGTGTCATAAAGTGTCAGGGCGTTGGCCCACCACGAGCCGCTAGAACAGCTTCAATGCGCCTTGGCATAGATTCTACAAGGGATGCGACATTCTTCCATAAGAAATTCCATCATTTGTTGTTTTGTTGATGGTGGTGGAAAACATTGTCTCTGCACCACTCCAGAATCTCCCATAAGTGTTCAATTGGGTTGGGATCTGGTGACTAACACACACACACACACTTAAAACCCCCTTTGAGACCCCTCTTTCAGTCACTGAGATCTCTTCTTCTAGCCATGGTAGCCAAAATAATGGGGAACTGGGCATTTTTATACATGACCCTAAGCATATTGGGATGTTAATAGCTTAATTAACTCAGGAACCACACCTGTGTGGAAGCACCTGTTTTCAATATACTTTGTATCCCTCATTTAGTCATATGTTTACTTTAATTTGGCAGTTACCCGTTTGTCTCGTGACGACGAGACGCAACATCTCCTTCCACAGTACTTAGGATGCAGTGGCTCTGGGGCTTAGT